TGACCTGTAACTTGCCTGTTAGAATCATACAGTTGTCTATGGAGAAGTTTAATGCCACACTGTGCAACTTTGCAGACAAAGCAATGACATCGCCATGGAGACAAGGAAAGTGAGCGACCCTGTACCAGAAAAAGTTACATAGTGCAGCTTTATTATTTGGGTGAAATGCCATTTTTTAAACATTTTCTATTACAGTTTTTCTCCATTGGTTTGACTCATTTCTTGAAACAGAAATGACATTCTCAAAACAACATGGACAAATCTCCAAACCACCTCACAGTCGTTCACAACAGAATGGCATTTGATTGATTTCATCAAATTACAATTGTCGTTGTGCATGTCTCAAGTGTCTCAGTGCATCTTTGTACATGGTTCTGTACAAGTCACCTGCAGTTAACACAATGAGGCAACATTTAGCACATTTTCCAAATAAATAGATCTTGTTGATCTAAACTGTTTATTTATTTATTTGAGACAGGGACAGCGCACAATTTTTACATCAACCTTAACAGGAGAGAGGTATTGTACATCAGGTTGTAGCATCAGTGCTAATTGCATTTATCTGACCTTAACCATCAACTCCTGGAGACCTGTGTAGCATGTTTGGAGTTGATGGGGGAAACAGGAGCACCTGGAGTAAACCCATCCAGACACGAGGCGAAACAAACTCCACACAGAAAGGCCCAGGGACTGAACCTGGAACCTTCTTGCTGTGAGGCATGAGTGCTTGCCACTCAGTCACCGTGCTGCCACTGATGAGTTGTTTCTCAGACTAATGGTTGTTCTCTCTAAAACATGTCAACATGATTTCTTTGTCTGAGTCATCATATGCACAATAGTCTGTTCAATTGTCAAAATTAAAATACCATAAACACCATATATCTATATATCTATATCTATGTATGTATCTATATAAATATATATATATATATATATATATATATGAACATTTGATAAATTCATGACAGTAATTGTCAGGTGAAATAAGAACGTCCTATCTCATTATGTGATCATGTGGATGTGTGAATTTCCACCGTGGCTCATCAAGGACCTGGTTCACTTCCTATTTAAAGATGCTTAAGGAGCTACTATCACTGTACTCTCCTTCCCTCAATCTGACTGAGTTTTTTTCTGCTTGGAGGTGGAAAGTGTATGAACATCAGGCTGAAGACCAGAGGTCCCTGCTCCATGGAATGGATGCTGCATGTGAGGACATCACAAGGGAGGGGATGGTTGAGACATTTGCGCCGTTTCTTCCCTCCTGACGACAGCGCCCAGTGAAAGTGTTATTGTAGAAACTTTATTTCCTTTATTTACAGCACTGTAGGCTAGATATTTTTCTTTCCTTTTTTTTTTGTTTGTGTTTATATTCGGTACATGCACAGAATGCTGTATACATTTTCTTTTTATGTTCTCTAATGTCTGGAAGTGACTTTATGTGTGTGAATAAAATGATTAGAGTTTTGTTGGCAGTGTGAGAGCTGTGTGTGTGTGTGTGTGTGTGTGTGTGTGTGTGTGATGTCATATTTTGGAGGCTGCTCTTACTGTGAAATCCTTCTTTTCAGTTTTATCCATAATTGTATTGTGTTAGTTAGACCTCTGCCATAGTGACAAAACATCTAAGCATTTTGAGCTGCAGCGCTGACAGAAGGCCAAAGGGACGCTGCATTTTGGGAGCAATGACTATTTCTATGAGAAAGGAATTTAGTTTTCACACATGATGTTGTGCTGAACCATCCAGGTTATTTTGAAAAAAAAAAAGAACTAAGTGAATGCAAAAGAGCCAAAGTAATTGAGAAGGATCTTTGCAATTTTGATGGCACTGACTCTTTATATGGGAAAGGAATCTGCTTTGAAGCCTGTGTGAACAGTTTTGGGAGAGATATGAGCTTTTGCTGGTGAGCGTTAATGTTGTGCAGAACTATCAGACTGTTTGGCCAAATGATCTTGTAGTTTTAAGAATGTCATTTCTGTTTCAAGAAATGAGCCAAACCAATGGAGAAAAACTGTAACATGGCATCATGAAAACCAAAACATGTATAAAAACAACACATAGCCACCGAAAAAATACTGATAAAATTGTTAAAATTTTAGAACTTATTTCACATATTTTTGTTCATTTCAGTGAATTACAGTTTTTATATCTGCTTTTCAATAATTCTTCTATGGCTCAAAGCGCAGCATAGTTTAGAGTGGTAGCAAAAAAATAACAAAATCTAAAATTCAAATTCAAAGCAACAATAAAAAATGACAATTAAACAAAATAAAAACAATTACAAACCAAATAAAAACAAGTCACAAACATCAGTGCGTGTACTGTGTGCCTTGAGTCTCTGCATTGAAATACATGCATACAAAACCCAGGTTATAAAATGTAGTCATTACATATTACTATAAAAAAGTACAGTGAATATTATTATCTATAAATGTCACCCAAAGTTCATAGAATTGTCCGTTTTGCTTTTCCATCAAGTCCTTTTTGCAGCTACTTCGGGCCTGAAAATTCTTGCATATTTCCACACTTTACCATCAAAATATGTGGATTAAATAAAAATTCATATCCATACAATGCTATATATACTGCTTATCTATGTACAGTAATTGTGTTTTGAAAATATAACTATTTTCTTTTTGTTTTGTCGACAAATCTGAAAAGTGCGAGACATGGCTTGTTTTACGTGTGTGGCTGTTGTAGTGGAAGAACAAGTTTGTGCGTTAAAATTTTAGTGTTTAATTACAGTTTAATTTCAGATCCATTTTCAACATCCTTAAAAATCAAAATGTGTTTCTATATACTGTTAAAGGCGCACTGTGTAACTTTTCAGGTGGAGGCTCCGTCAAACGCTTTTCTCCGTAGAGATGTTGTCTCTTTGTCTGGAATGTCTCACAGTATGGAATTAAACTTTTTTTTATCTCCATGGAAACCAAACCGGACCAGGTTACAGGTCAGAGTTTTCAAACCACCTGCAGTTGAATAAATGTAAAGTCGAGCTGTTTAATGTCATACTGTGGAACATTATAACAGACAGAGCAATGACATCTCCATAGAAACAAGCAGGTGATGGACCCCCAACCAAAAAGGTTACATAGTGCGGCTTTAATAAACATAATTTAATGATTTGGTGCTCTGAAGTGTTTAAAGTGCAGCCTGTTCTGTTGCAAGAAGATGCCATTTTTTTGTTGAAAATAAGTTATTAATATGTCAATGCAGTGACTATGACGTTAAATACAAACCTTTAATAGCAATAGACTTGATAATAGTTGTCATAAATGTTTGATAATGCAATGAAAAGTTGTGTATTCTTCATGTTGAGTTTGTTGGCATTCCTTTAGTGACCACAAGGGGGCAGAGTCTAGTCAAAGATGCATGAGTCAGAAAGAAATCCCTTATTCCAAAGAGGTTAAAAACAGCATCACAAAAGCAAGAATACTCACGATGACCGTCCAGTTTGTAGTTTTGCTTTCAACTTCTTTCTTTTGCATTTTTTTACGCCTTCATATCATAAAGAATTGTTGTTTTAAAGTGTCCAGATTACATTATTTTCTGATCAATGTTATAATGTTGTTTCCTCATCAAAATGCTTGTATATCCGAAGTTGTTTTTTTTGTTTCTTTCTCACATGTTTAACTCACAAATCCTGCATGTTTAGGATGTGTTCTTCTCTCAAACAGAAAGCACTCTGTTCTACTTTGTGACGTGGTAATACAGGAAGTGCTCCACTGTGTTTTTAAACTGCCAGTCTCTACTAAACAAAGGTAAAAGGTAAAAGGTTAACGTGAAAACTACCACTGCATGAATTCACAACGTAGTACAGAGAATTTTGAGCTTTGGAGGTGAACATTAATAATAAAGGTGTGAATGAAACAAATCACAACTCCAGGTCTGTTTTTCAGGACTTTCTAACATAATTTGCAAAATATAGGACCTGTTGTTGGGGCAGTAATTTTGGCAACTACTTGGCACCAACATTTTTGTTAAAAGTTTAAAGTCATGTTTAAAGTCATTAGAGTTCACCATACACTTTTACTTACTATACAACTCAAACTTGCCCAAAAACCTTACTTGCGCCCTTTAACACCCACAAACTTCCCTTACTGACCCTGCTCTATCAGTCCTGCACCGAGTCGGGAACCCGCAAATATGTTGCTGAAACGGGTGAGTTTTAACACTTTGGAATTTAAGTGCAGGTATGTGGGCGGGTAGTGATTACACACGGGCGGGTCAGGTGAATCAAATGAACGACAAGTCCAGAACATCCGTTGCCCTGGAAACAAGTCCCGTTTCCTGGTCTCTTCCTGGAACGATGGCAGACAAGACTGAGAGAGACTTTAGTGTTTTTATCACATAAAACCATCAGCGGAGGTGATCAGCTCTGTGGCTGCGCTCCTTAGTCCTGGTTTAGACCTGCTTAAGTCTTGGGTTAGACCTGGTTTAGACCTGGTCCAGTTCTGGTGTAGTCCTGGTGATCAGCTCAGAAGTTGCGGCGTGTATACATTTATGCTAATGACATTGGTTTAGTCCTGGTTTAGACCTGGTTAAGTCCTGGTTTAAACCTGGTTTAGTCCTGGTTAAGTCCTAGTATATACCTGGTGCTGTCCTGGAGATCGGCTCTGTGGTTTGCAGTGTGTATATATTTATAATCTGCCAATGACACGGTGTAGGTTCAGTCCTGGTTTAATCCTGGTTTAGTCCTGGTTCAGTCCTGGTTCAGTCCTGGTTCAGTCCTGAACTACTGGGCTGTCGGACTAATGGGCTAACCCCAATTTAACTCGAGCGTGGGCGGGTAATGGGTGGAATATTAACGAGTCTGGGCGGGTTCGGGTTTAACTTTGATATAATCACGGGTTAATGGGCATGTGTGGTCCTGTACTGCGAGGGTCTGGGCGGTCCAGGTCTCCAAAACAGGACCCATGCAGGACTCTTCTACGAGAGCCCTCTTCTGCCCCCTTCTGGTCACTCTGTATATTACACTACACTCATTTGAGTCCCTGGGTACACTCTACTCATGTCTCACTCCGTGCTCCCAGGCCACTTTCGCTTGCTCCTCCTTAGTCGCCGCTATGATTGGCTGCGAGATCTTGCGTGGCATTGGCCGGGGCGCGGGAGGGGGCGGGGACTGCGTGCTTAGCCCCTCCTCCTCCGGTATGCACCCCTCCCTGACGTACGGCTTGGGCGGGAGTGCGGGTGGCTCGTGGAGACTGTAGAGCGGAGGATTGTGGGGGATGTAGTGCGGGAAGTGCTGCTGGTAGTAAATATGATGCTGCGGCGGGTGGAGGATGTCCGGAGCCACCATACCAGGGGGGATGATCTGAATTCCGGGCTGGAGAGGGGTCACCGTTCCTGGGGCGGAGAGGCTGCGGCAAGGCTGTTGTTTATCACCGTCCAACACCACGGGTTCGGAGACGCTGTAGCGGACGGGCTGGTAGGGCGAGTCCAAGTCTTCCTGGTCGGTGGTCCAGGCCTGGCTGCTGGGGGCGGAGTCAAGGGTGTCGGTGCGGCTGGCGGAGGGGTCGGAAGAGGTGCCCCCGAAGTTGCTCTCGCTCAAAGAGGACACACCGGAGCTGGCGCTGCCCGATAAGGTGGAGTTACTGCCATCCAGGACGGACTGAGGACTGGTGGGCGAGGCAGGTATAGGGTGCAGAGGCGACTGTGGAGAGAGAACGGGTGAGGACAGGTCAGTATGGCTCATATGTTCACATTTATGTTTAATGTAGTTCAGTTGATAAAGCTGTGGGAAGAGAGTAGGGGCATGGCAAGTAAAGATGGGGTGCACTCTATGTCACTTTAAGATGCACTGCGCAGTTTTTTTGGTGGAAAGTTCATCACCTGCTTATCTCCAAAAAGATGTTATTGCTTTGCCTGGAATGTTCCATGGTATGATTTTAAACACACCTATTTCCTATTGCACAAAAATACAATTCTCTCTGTGAACAGGTGCGCCTCTCCACAGATTTAACCTGTAATGTAGCCTATAGTATAGTATATATGGCATCCAGTGTTGGGCATTTTACTTTAAAGTTAATTAGTTACCATTTCAAATGACTTCCCCCATACTCAGCTAAGTAATTATCCAGTTATTTTTCATGTTATATACTATCACGCTCACTGTGCAGGGGCTCGAGGTGAACAGCAACGAGAGGTGACAATGTGATTCATTAGATTCGAGTTACTTGAGGCAGACACAGACAGAATTTTTTTTCCCAGGGCACAATTACCGTATTTTCCACACTATAAGGCGCTCTGGATTATAAGGCGCACTGTCATTGAATGGTCTATTTTCGAACTTTTTTCACAAATAAACCACACCAGACTATAAGGCGCATTAAACGAAACACAACAGTTTGATGGGTGAGTGGGACTTTGTTTGGCGCGTTCACGGTGACTCTGGGCTTTGTTCTGTTGTGGCGTGTAGGGAGGGTGCTGTCTGGGACCGCTGGATTGTCGGTGTGTTCGCAGTGACTCAGTTGTTCAGTTGTGCCTAGAAGTGGCAAATTGCACTCGCTTTTTCGGTTTGTTCCTCTGTTCTATTCCTTCTGTGTGTGGAGTGATGAGTGTGGCTGTGGGTGTGTTTCGCTGTGCGGTCGCTGTCTGCTCCGTGCGTGTTTGCGTGCGCTGTGGGTGGTGCGGGTTTGTAGTTTACTGAAGTCATGCTGGGACACCCGAGTGGATTCGTGTATAGGGCGCTCTGGATTGTGGGGCGCGCAGTCGCTTTTTGATGGGGTTGGAGGCTTATGAGCGTGCCCAATAGTGCGGAAAATACGGTACACTTAACATACACATTCTTGCCTTTTATTTCAATGAGGGAGAAATAGTGTTGGTATTTCCACTTTGCCTTTGAATGTCCCCGGCTCATCGTTGAGTTTGTCTCATTTAGCCTGAAGTGTGGGGGAAAGAAACAACAAAGCAGCGTGATCAGAGACTCCACACCCCACAACTACTTAGCCAGTCATCTTGGTCCTGCTCTGTCCTGCGTTCTCCCCGCTCCTGTACATGCCACAATGCCACGTGCCACTTCGCTTTCCCAGTAACAATAACGGCGTTGTAACAATAGGGAGTGTAATTAATTAGATTACTCCGAAACTTAAATGCCATCTCCATAAAGACAAGCAGGTGCCAAACCTTCCCCCAGAAAAGTTGCACAACACACCTTTAAAGGCACAGAAAAGCTGAGTAGTATCCCAGAAATAAGCTATAAGTATAAGTATAGTTGTTTTATTTTAACATTTTAGAAGGGAAGTAAAGTTATATATAGTTTCCATACTTAAAACATTATTTAATAGGTTGTAATCTAAGAAAAAGATTCAAAACTTAGTAGGAGGAAGCAATGCTGATTTAATCTTAAGATAAATTTAACTCACCTAATGCTTTTGTTTTGTTTGTTTATACTTTCGAGGTAATGTCAGCCTTTGTAGTAGTGATCTGAGCCAAAATACTACCAAACCTACATGGTGCAGATTGGCAGCCTCACTTCTGCCGGTCTACCCCAGGGCAGGTGTGGCTACAGAAGTAACTTAAAAGCAGGGGTGGAGCGCGTGAGAAATGACTACAGTTGAGTTTAAAAAGTGTGGAAAGTCTCATCATGTAAAAGTGTAAATCTTGTCTAATTAAAGCGTGGGAGTTTACAGCATAACTAGAAGCCATGGTTTAATTCAGGCCAATTAAAACTGAAAATCTGCTGAACAAATGATACACCTCCTCAGATTACTGCGCACCTACAGGGAAGAACACGAACTTACTTGGAGTTTTCTGATAGTTATGCAAGAAAAAATAATGGCCCTAACTCTCACAATTCACAGTGAGTGTTAAAGGTGCATTGTGTAACTTTCTATCTTCATGGAGACCAAACCAGACCAGATTATAGGTCAGATCTGTGGAGAGGCAAATCCACTTTTCTAGGTAATTTTGAGCCACAAACCGAACCAAACTGCATAAATATAAAGGCAGAGCTGTTTAATGTCATACTGTGGAATATTTCAGGCAGAGCAGTGACATCTCCATAGAAACAAGCAGGTGACGGACCCCCATCCAAAAAGTTACATAGTACAGAAACACTGAAGCCACAGGACATGAACCGTCAATTGTAAAGACATACGTACGATATGTAGATTTTAAATTGAATATGACGACACATTGATACAACATTTAACGGCTAAGAAAAGGAGACTTAAAATATTTGAATCACTCCGAATTAGGGATGTAACAATAACCGAAATATCGTGACATCGTATCATCAAAAGTATCACAATAATATCGTGGAATGTCACAATATACCGAATTCCAAGTTCCTTTGTTTAAATGCATGGTTTTATATTAGCAGCGGCTTATAAACTTAGGCAACTACATATCCCATGATTCATTTCAGTGCAGAAAACATGAAGAAATATGTTTTTTACTTGAATTCTTCAGATTATGATGGAAATAATTCACATCAAAATCTTGTCAAGGTATTTTGAAAGTTTAAAAAAAGTATCTACACCTACAATTATATTAGCGATATTCAAAATATCGCAATAAATACTGTACTGTGAGATGTATATCGTGACAATATTGTACCATGAGATTTGGATATCCTTATATCTCTAATGACGACACATCGATATAATATTTAACAGCTAAGAAAAGTGGAGTTTAAATATTTGAATCACTCCGAACTAGGGATGTAACAATAATTTAAATATTGTGATATCGTATCATCAAAAGTCTCACAATAATATCGTCACAATATACTGAATTACAGGTTCCATGCATGGTTTTACTGGAGCAACAGCTTACAAACATTGGGAACTACATATCCCATGATTCATTTCAGCGCTGACAACATGAAGAAATATGTTTTTTACTTGAATTCTTGGGATTATGATGGAAATAATGCACATCAAAATCTTGTCAAGGTATTTTAAAAGCAAAAAAAGTGTCTACATCTACAATTATATTAGCGATATTCAAAATATCGCAATAAATACCGTACTGTGAGATGTATATCGTGATAATATCGTACTGTGAGATTTGGATATCGTTACATCCCTACTCCGAACACAAACAACTGTAATTTTCAAGTCGACCCCACAGCAGATTTCGTTGTAAAACAAGTAAAGCGTTATTGTTAAGTGCAAACATCCACACACAGACAGACCGACAGACAGAGAGACGAGGCAGAGGAGGAGGAGAGGAAGAGAGGGGTACCTTTCGTAAGGAGCGCGCGGGGAGAGCTGGAGGGAGCTCGCTGCTCTGGTGGTGGTGGTGGAAAGCGTCAAAGTGCATCGACAGGTGTTGGCCTACAGGGGGAGACACAGCAGGACTGACTGAGAGAGAGAGCGCCGCAGAGAAGAGCAGAGGAGAGAGGGAGAGAGGGAGGTGGAGAGAGGAGGGGGTGAGGGGTGAGGGCTTTCAAACGTGGTGCCGGTAAAATGCAACAGAGATCGGTGTCGTGTCATCGCACCTCATGGAAATCTAAGGCAGCCAAGTCATATTTTAAAGGGACAGTCTGGAATTTTGGACATAGTGAGCCAGAGTGTTGGAGACGTGTGGAGACACTTTTTTAAAATATTCAATCCAGTCCTTGTATTTGCAGAGGTCGCTGGGGCTTGACTAGTGCATGTCAATGGCCATAGTTATCCTGCCACTAAAAACTGTTTTACCCACTCCACAAAACACCTGAGGCACTAACCAATTTTCTGTGGGAAACTCTGTGTTCTATTTACGGCATAATAATAATAATAACTATGTAGACAATTAATAATATATAGAAAATACGTCCAAAGTTCCTAAAAGTCTGTTTCACTTTTTGTTACATGGCTTAATTTTGGAATGGCTTCAGGCTACGAAAGCCAAATTCCCACATGTCTAAAACTTTTGATAAAAGATGAGAGTGACTAACTGGAAAACTGGCAAAGGAGAAATTCAATTTGTCAACTGGACAAAAGTTTATTTGCTCAAATATGTTTCACAGTTCATCCAAGCTGCTCCAGGGAGGAGTTACTATAGTGAAACTTCTCTGAAACTAGTTTCACCATAGTTAGCTCCTTCCTTCAGGCAGATATAAGGAAGTTTCCACCAGCATTTTGACCAGAACTGAAGAAGGAGCTTGGATGAGCTATGAAACGTATTCAACCAAATAAACTTTTGTCCAGTTGACAAATTAAATTTCTCCTTTGCCATGGATGCTACCTGGACGACTGAGGGATTTTACACATAACTGTAAAACTGTTGACTCATTTTATGTGAGAGACTTGCTTAAGAACACATATCATCTTCTCTTATATTTCCAACCAAGTCACTTCTTTCTAGTCAGACTGTGTTAAAATAAAGATCAGATTAAAGTCTAACTTGAGTAACAGAGCTTCAGACAGAGCGGTGCTTTCTTTTTGCTTCACATCCCCACGGAATGTTGATGATGTCAGCTGCAAAGTATCAATACGCTATCCAACAAACAAATAAAATAAAAATGCAAATAAAAACAGCATTAGTTGTTACCATGGGGAAGGTTGCGCGGTGGGACGGGCGGAGCCATGACGCCCCCCACATGAGCGGACAGGAAGGGGAGGGGGTCTCTGCTGCCACTGTCCAGACTCCAGCTGCTGGGGGCTGTTAGTACTGCACGGGGATAAGAAGTATTTTTAGTGCTCTATACATGCAGTTCTACTTCTGCTGTGTGGGTGTGTGTACCTTTGTCTGCTACAGAGAGGTTGGGGTCACTGCACGGTTTGCACGGTCCGATCACCTGGTGGAATAACGCTCTCTGAAGATTGGTCGGCTGGAAGAGATTTGTTGGAAATTTGGTTAAAAATCTCAAACTGTTAAAAACATACAATACTGAAAAATGTTTGTGGTGGTCTTGGGCTTTTTGCATACAGAATACAGACATTTACAAATTAAATCTGGGTATTGCTAAATAAAACAAAATTTTTTGTTAATGATGGAAAATTACTTCATCACTTAATACTACTACTTAATTAATATTTTACATGCAGATTTAAATACATACTGACACAAAAAATACAGGAGTAACTATTTACTTGAGTACATTTTGAAGTTTGTCATCAAAGGGAGTAGTATTTATTACTTTATTTGCTTAAATTTAATACGAGTAAATGTATTTTTTCCCCTTATTAAATATTTTGTAAAAGCTGAACTTCATTTAATCAGAAAACATTTCAACTACTGCAAAGAAAGTCTTGTGTGTCTCGAAATGACACTTTGGTATAAGAGCTGATTACCTGTGCTAAAACTGTACTAAAGGGGAAAAAATCTGTCATGTGAATATAAAAAGTGACAAATTACACAAATACCAACTTCTTCTTTTCATACTTTCAAAATCAGATACCCATAAAGCTTTAAAGCCCAATATGTAACCAGCAAAAAATCCTGGCTGCACTATTCCACAGTATTAGCCACTCTGGTGCTACCTAGTGCCACCGCTCAATTTCATTTCTCTCCAGTGACTACGTCAGGAATCAGAATACACTAGATCGGTTTGTAAGAACCCTGGAAGTGCGAGTTTGGATACCAGCCAGTCAGCGAAGAGCCATATATTCTGTGTTCACAACGATTCCTGATGTCAAGGATTTAAAGCCGGAACAAAGAGATTGTTTGGTGAATTTTATCAAGGGGAAAGACGTTATTGTCCTTCTTCCTATGGGGATTTGGGAAAAACTTAATATACCAGTTAGCCCCGTTAGCGGCGCATTACATACATCACGACCAAATAGCAGCAATTGGTTAAATGAAAAAAAAAGTACCCGCCTACCATCGAGCAAACAAATCCTACTGCATCAGACGGTTTCCACGAAGTGGAACTGGCTGATGAAGCAGGCTACCACAGTATAGCATAAAACTCATTTAGGTTCAGTGTATTCTCATAAAGGAGCTGCAGGGGGCGCTCTTTTGCTAAAGTGACTTAGTTCTGCTTTAATGTGACGATATTTTAAATAGGGTGACCATATTTCCGTTTGTCAAAACCCGGACACCTTGCCAGGGGTGGGCCCTCGACACAGAGCTACACTCACCTCGCAAACTGTGCACATGGCCTCCCACTTGTCCTGACCAGGACGGAAAAAGGGGAATTTCTTGTCCAAGTCATCATTAAATGCACATTTACGCTTTGGCATTTTGCAGGCTGACCGACTGTTTGTGTCTGCTCACTCCTTCTGAGAGTACAGAGAGCTACAAGAGACGCTCAATTTAATGACCCCAGTGAAAGGTAATGCAAACCTGGACATTTGCATCACTTTATAAAAAAACAAACAAAAACTGGACACCCAGGACAGGGCGTGAAAAACAGACATGTCCGGGGAAAAACGGACGTTTGGTCACCCTATTTTAAAGTAATCATAATATAACTTGTTGAAAATAGACTTGGAGTAACATTTTATCACAGCGGACTTAACTCCTATTTATATTTCCTGAAATGTCTAAAAAGCACAATCTGTCCTCCTCTTCCTCCCTCTCATCAGTTACCTGTCCGTTGTCCATGATGTTGGGGTACATGGCGCTGCTGGGGCGCTCTCTGGTCGGGGGCAGCAGCATCAGCATCTCCCGGTTGTGTCTGTATTTGTCTGGCAGAGACGGAGAGCCAACTACAAACAGGACACAACAACAAGAGTCAGAGTTTCAAATAGCGGCAGCGGTAATGATAAATATACATGTAAAGCTATTGTGACACTTACTTCTGATGGTGGAGGGGGCGGAGTGTATCATCTGAGGAGGAGCAGAGTGGGTGGAGTTTAGGCTGGAGGAGGAGGGACTTGCCTGAAACCAACATTTATATAACATTAGACAATATAACATGAATGAAGAAGCTGTACCTTTTTTTTGTTTTTTTTTCCACAGACCAGATCTAGTTACAAGCAAATTTTCAAAGTGACAGCAGGTAACAGTGTGCTGGTACTTTATAAAAGTAAAAAATTAAAATATGGCTAAAAAACCAAACACCATCAACCAGTCACCAGCAGGGGGAGCCACTTATTGTTGCTCCAAATACAAATTCACAAAATACTTGGTTTACACATCGAAAAGCAATTCATAATAGTTGACGTAAGAGTATTTGCTAGGGCTGTAACGACATCCAAATCTCATGGAACAATATTTTCATGATATACATTTCACGGTACGATATTTATTGCGATATTTTGTGGAGGCGAACAAAATCGTGAATATGCTACTTTTTCCTCTTAAATAACTAAGATGTAAAAGTGTGTAGAACTGTTATTTCTTCATGTAGTCTGCACTGAAATGGAGCAAAGGATCATGGTCGATGTAGTTCCCTCTGTTTTTTTAGCTATTGCTGCACCATAACAATGAGTTTAAACTAAGAAAGTTGTGATTCTATATATTGTGATGGCCCATGATATTATTGAGAGACTTTTGACGATACAATATCACGATATTTTGGTCAGTGTTACACCCCTAGTATTTACTTTTGATTTGAGAAAAAGAAAACTAAATAAATTAAACACCTGCAGTAAAAATATTACTATTATGAAACTGCACAAATCAGAGTTAAATACTGTTTTTCATTTTTAAATTTCAAAATCATCAAACAGATAACACTTGAGTAACACTTCAATATCATGTTTCTGAACATTATTTTATTTTCTCAGGATAAGTGTGTGGATAAGTGTAGCATATCTGAAGAGAAATAATTAAAAAATTCTAAAAACTACAATTGTAATAAAAACTTGTGTGTGTCCACGATCTGCAGGTTTAGTTATGATTGTAGTTTAAACAAACCAGTCTCAAATTACAATGCATTATATTTAATTCTATGAGCTATAAATCCACCTTCATCTTCTGAGCATTTGTTTTTTGACCTGTGCGTCCCTGACCAACACTCACCTGCATCCTGTAAAAATCCTCGGGATGTTCTACCACCAAACCGTCAGCCAGGATCAGCAGGTTCCCCAGGTTCCCCGTCTCGCTGGAGGTTTGAGAAGAGAGAGAGGACGAGGAGCGCACCGGGGTCAGAACAGCTATGGGACTTTAGGGGTCAAAAGGTCAAGCAGGGAGGTTGAAGTTTGGGGTGGGGTTTAGTGATTTTGAAGGAGTTAGGTAAGTTAAAAAGGTATAGGAAGGGATAGGAGGAGAGCAAGAAGCAAAATCCAAAACAAAATATCCCAAACATGCGTGAGGTGGAATGAGGATGGTGATGGTACGTGCAAAAATGGTTGGGAAGAGGTGTAAAAAAAAGAATGGATAGATAGACAAATAGAACGAGAGCAAGAAAGAAAGAAAGAAAGAAAGAGAAGATGGATTTGAGTTTTGAACAGTGACTATGAAAGTGAAAACAGTATGGATCATATACAGTATGTTAGATCATTTGAAAGTGGCAGCAGGTGAAGTTAAAGCAGAATGTCGTGAAGAATGATTGAGAGAATATTTTTATATAGTACTTTTGATCTACTGTAGTAATTTCTCTTGTGGATCAATAAATAAAGGAACTGTATGTAAGAATTTGATTTAAAATTTTCATAAACTTGACCTAACTGCGTCCCAGATATCATGTAAACATTTTCAAATCAAGCATAGCCTTTACTGATAACTATTCTAATCCTGATTTATTTTTAATTAAATATATAAAAAACATAATTTCTCATTTATTTATTTTATAATTTGGTGTTTTGGTGCTCAGAACCAGAAAGCAGAAAGCAGAATGAGCCTCACATGACCCTGCATTCGATTATATTTCTGAATCGTTTTTCTGAGGAAGTTGCCTAGCGACACGCATGACACGCCCCTTTTCCTGGGACAGCGCAACTCGGATCTCGGTGGCAGAAAAAGTAGACTCTCCGGTGCGACTTATATATTAACATTTTCACAGGCGCTCTAGGTTTGTGTGCCAGTATCTGCTACTCCTATTACTCCTGTACCACTGTCACTTCACTCTACTGCGCATGTCTCCTGCAGAAAGAGCCGCTGTCCTGCTGCAAGTAGTGAAATATTCAGCCGAAAACGGTAATTGAGCAGCAGAAAGAAAGTTTGGAGTGAGCGAGAAACTTGTGAGGGACTGGTGGAAAGCGGGGATGGAGAGTACAACTTCACGGTAACCGGGAGGGTGCGCCATGCAACTTTCCTGGAAGTCATTGGATGGATCGACAAAGCCTGAACTTCAGTCACAACCGAAACCATCCTGTCGAGATTCAGAAAGGCCGGAATAATTCTAACTGGAACTGAAGCTGAGTCTGACGACAGCTACACAGAAGAGGAAGCGGAGGTCCATTTAACTCCGGAGGGCACAGAGTTACTCAGAAGTGACACAGAGGATAACAAATTTAATGGATTTAGTGATTTGGAGTGAGATGGAGAGTTTGGTAAACTTGTTCTGTTGTTTATACTATAATTATCTGAAGAACTGTTCATATGTGACGTTAACAGCCTGTTGATCTCTGTTCTATTATTATTACTATAACTTAAGTGCGGCTTATATATGTTTTTTCTTCTTCATTATGCATTTTTTGGCTGATGCGACTTATGCTCCAGAGTGACTCAGAGTCTGAAAAACGATATGTTGTCCATGAAATGAACATGTGTCAAGATGGTTTCTCAGTGAGTATAAGGTAAAGTGCAAATAAAACATAATGATTGACAGTTATTGTAGCGTCCGTGTCAGACCTGTGTCGGTGCATGAGTTTGAAGCTCTCGGGGCTCATGGGGCTGTGTGCCGTCAGGATCCCTCTGTGAGTGTTTCCCAGTTTATCCAAACCAGGCAGGCCCTTTACAAACACAAATGGTTACATATGTTTAATGCCATACTGTGAAACATTCCAGACAAAGCAACACAAGCAACATATTGCAGAATCAATAAAACATTTTGATATCTGTATGAGTATAAAAACCTACAATTTTAATTACATATTTTTATTAAAATTTTATTAAAGGGTCTGTACCTGTTTTTTCTCATCTATTTCAGTTTTTTTTTCTTGCTCCAGTACAGAGAGCAGCTCTTGAGGTCAAAATGAATCATGTCTCTGAAAGTTGTATAATAATAAATATCCTAAAATAAGTGTTAATAGGTTTCTTATCTTAAAATGTTCTTTTATTATGAAGTATGTGTTCATTTTGTCCTTACACTACATTATAATCCCACTTGTTACAAAATTGTATTCTTAAATAGTTATATAACATTTTCAATTAAGTAAAAAAAAGTAGGAATAAAAGTCTAAAAATAAGTTACAATGTTGTTAAAAGAGGTTACAAGAGAGGTCAATATGATTATTTGGATTAGAAAGAAGACCGGATCCATTCTGTTTGAAAACACCACCGAGATTACAGTGTTTATAACGAACTTAATCCTCTCAGTTTAATTAGTTCCCTTGGACATTGCACAAATCCTTTATGTAAGCCTCACAGTATCTCGCTCATGTTTTTGAGGACTCTTCTCTTGAGATTAACTGGCAATTGTTCAGGGTTTATACAATCTCAAATAGATGTAATTAACAATAAAATAAATACATTATCAAAGTTGAGTGGCGTATAGAACCTTTTTGTGTTCATTTACCTGGACAAAATTTAATCTTTAACATTTACAACCACATCGTTTTTAGAGACTACTGTATAAGCAGAGGTAGTAGTAGTAGTAATTAAAAAACAACATATGTGTGTATATGTTTTATTACTCACATGGCACAGACTGGTCCTCATCATCTGGAACTGATCAATGAGCTTTTTGTGCAGGGGACGCATTTCTGGGTGCACCAGCTTCTCGTGGACTGCTAAACCAACTCCCAAGATGTGCACCTAAACAATAACATAAAATATATATATATATATATATATATATATATATTTTGAGTGAAAACAGAACTTTGTGTAATTTCTGTCTTTTCATGTGTATTTGGACGTACCTGCTCCTGCATGAGGTCTTTGAGCTGTGTGATCTTGTCTGTGTCTTCAGGGTGACTGGTGATATACTCTTTATCAAAGAAAGCCTTAAAAAACAACAAGTATAAAATATTACATTTCTGTCAAATCAAAACATCCACGAAGACAAGAATTGGCACACCCTCCACCAGAAAAGTTACATAATGCACTTGTTAAGGAAATTAAAATATTGTGTGATTATTTTATCTTTTAGAAACACATTTGGTGTTGTAACTAAAACTCATTTGGCTGGGTAGTTAAAGTTAGAAAGACCCTTCAATGTAAACACTTCTGTTTCCTTTTGCCTGTTAATCATGACTGGAAGTGACCAAGGCAGGTGAATATGGATACAAATCAGATCAAGCAGTTGGCTTTCATCTCTCTCCTTTGAAATAAACCACACCTTGTATTTTTTTTAACTCCACATGTAACCTTCTGCTCATGAAGGTCAACAGGAACACATCTGACCACACTTCAATAGGACTGGTCACCTTCTCACTTTGAAATGTATGTCCTCTGGTCATTTCAACCTATATAAACTTCTTGCAAGAAATAAACTCAGCATCTTTGCTTCAACATTCATTAGTGTCTACAAAAGGAGTTTTTTTCCACAACACACTTTAATGTCCAAAATGAAATGCTTGTCCCACCTCCTGGTATCGTGCGATGCCTCCGTTGACGGCGGCGTCGATGACCCCGTTCAGGGTCATACTGAGCAGGTTGATGTTGCCCTGCAGCTGCTTGTGCTGGTACTGACTGATCAGAGAGCGCAGCTCCTGGTTCTTATTCTCCACCACACTGACGGCGTTCTCCAGAGGACTCACCTCCACCTGATACACACACACACAACACTACAGCTGGAAACTTCTCTATTTTTTATACACAGGTTTGAAAAATGCATTCAGGCCTTTAAAATATTATTGGCTGCCTTGCCATTGGTGCTTCATGTTTGATTTTTGTTTCACAGTTCAGAAAAACATTTTTCTGAAATATTGTATAAGATGCCCAGAAGATTTTAGACACTGTGTACTGCCTGCATCTTATTATGATAACAGGGATGGTAAAATTCCGCTCTAGCCTCTGACAGCTGAAACTGTGATGTGTTAGGAAAGTGAGGATTAAGTTTTGATATATACTGTATGTGAATCATTTAACATAAACTGGATAACCATCTTGACTAAAACTAAAACACCAAAATTAGACAATAAATAAATCAGCATAAAGCTTTATTTGACTGTAATGTGTCTAATTCATATCTGAGAGCTACCTCAAGTTTATGATATCTAATATAAAAACATAACAGTTCCTTTAAACTAATAATAGAACAATATTATGACATTTCCATTCGGCCTTTCCACAGTGTTTTTCACTCCAACTGTAATCTCATCTAAAAAAAACATCACGCACCAGTTCTCTCTTCTCCACCTCAAACCAGCGAGAGATCCCCGGCAGAGGATGAGTGAGAATCAAGGTCGTCCTCTCTATCCAAAGACTCTGAAACACAAAATATACGCATTACTATTTATGTCCAAAGAGTAAAACTCAACACTGTAAATTCCAAAGTTTTTGTGGGTACCTTGAACTCGTTGTCCTTGTCCTTGGGGGCTTTGTGGAAGGGCCGGTCGTAACGGAATCGTCGGACGTTGTTGACTCTGTAGAAGCTCTTGATGCGGTCGGGCACTCGCTCCATCTGCAGCACACTCACACTCTCTGGGACCGGGGTCACGGCGTAGATCTGCAAGTCTGAGCCACGTGTTAAAGGACTCAATCTATAATACCACCTGTATCTGAATGGTGTGAATAATAAAACATGCATGTAGAAATGAATAAGTCTGTACAAAATGCTTGGTTATCAGTGAGTGTATTTGCAAAAACCAAGGATTACCAATCTTAGTATCAAAGTAGATGGGTTATACAGTATTTATAATAGTGTTGTAGTCAAGACCGCACTAATTGAGACCAAGACCAGTCTGAGACCACAGGGTCCCGAGACCGAGACAAGGCCAAGACCTCTGAGGGTCGAGACCGAGACAAGAACAACACTTTTAAAGGTTGAGACAAAGACAAGACCAAGACCATGGCCCACTGAGACCAAATCAAGACCATCTTTGTCATTTTCTACATTTATTTGTATTTTACAGTTATTTTGGCATATATATATCGATGTTTTTATGAATCTATCTCCTTTTTATCTGATCAATGTTAATTTAGGCATAAAATAAGTTTAAAAAAAAACAAAACAAAAAAAACTGTACTGCACTGAAACACTCTGTGGCCCTTTTTGGACCCACAGTTTGAGAAACCTTTTCTTTAAGAGAACTTACACTGGCACTTTACAGAAAACTGCTTTAAAGTGAATAAAGTGGGTACAGATTTTTTTTTTTTTGTCCGCAGGCTCCAAACGTGAGCACAGGCTGAAGTGAGAAGTCTCGCATGGTCCTGCACACCAGTACAAGCAGCGGTCGTAATGAAATAAGATTGCACTTGACAAGCGTCTGATCTCCAGTCCGAGACAAGGCCGAGTTCAAGTAACTTCAAGACCGAGTCCAAATGTGCTTGCGTCTGAGATGAGACCAAGACCGGTCTCGAATACTACAACACTAATATATAATATATCTCAAAAGTATCAATATCGACTGATACAGCTACATATGCAATAATACCAAGGTTCTCCATCAGATTTTTTAAAGAATATGTTAGATAAAATTGATTTGATTAGGTATTTTCCAAATTAGCCTTGATTTAGTCCTGATTTTGTCTCTGTTGAAGGTGCATTGTGTAACTTTTCTGATGGAGGGTTGATCAAATGCTTTTTTTTCCATGGAAATGTAATTGCTTTGCCTGGAATATTTCACAATATGGTATTAAACCTTTGTATCTTTGTGTAGACCAAACCAAACCAAGTTACAGGTCAGATCTCTGGAGAGGCGACCCCGATCACAGTTAGAATGCCAGTTTTTCTAGTTATTTTTTTAAACTATTGAGCAGACCCCCAACCAAAAAGTTACAGAGTTCACCTCTAAATTTTTAATTATTTTTTGACTTTTTTTTTATTTATAACTATTGATGAGTGAAAAGTAAATGAAAAGATTGCAGTAATGTCGGTATTGCAGTTCTTAACAGTCATATCACATATCACAAAATTTTCCAATATCGTGCATCCCTGGTTTAACTCTGCACCAAGAATCAATTTGCAGTATACTGTATGTAGCTGAAGGAATGTTTTGATCAGTGAGGGTTTCAAAAGGCATTTAGAAATAAAAATGTATTCGATAATGCATTCAGTATTAGGGTGTTCTTTATTATCCCTGTGGAGAAAATCGCCTTAGACCACTGTACAAGTAGAAATGATAAATGTAGTAATAATAATAAATCCTAGACATGCAGCAGCCTATTCTAATTCATCTTGGTACTAACAGAGATTATGGCTCAAAGTCTGCTGACAATTTACCACAGACTAATATATTCAAGGATGGGTCAGTAAGGTAAAGTATATCTGCTACTGTTACCTACTAACCTACATTTTTACTCTTTATTATAATATACTGTATTGTGTGAGCTACTGTGTCCAAATAATTTCCCATTGTGGATTAATAAAATTTGTCTAAGTCTAAGAAAAAAGTAATTTGTATTAGTGGGGGATAGTTTTTGTATACTATGATGTAAGTTTATTCTCATAGTCCCATTATATTATTATTATAAAGACGCATTGTTAAAAGGATACACTGAGCGTCACACTGTAGGATGCCCTCGTCTGGCTGGTTCGGGTGCTGCATGGCGATGGCCTGTGGAAACTCTCCCAGCATCCTTTGCTGAAACGCCTCCAGTCTCTCGTAGTCGTGGCCACGGCACACGAACTCCTTATTCTGGAGAAACAAAACAAACAGAAACATGTATTTGTTTTTCTTTCTTTAAAGTGGAACTAAACACGAAAACCATTTTTTATCTACAAAAAGATCTGGTTTTGATTTTGTTTAGACGTGGTTTAGATTTTGTCTAGACCTGGTTTAGACCTTGTTTAGACTTTGTTTAGACCTGAATTAGACCTGGTTTAGACCTGCTTTAAAAGTGGTTTAAACTGGTTTAGACCTGGTTTAGATCTGGTTTAGACCTGGCTTAAACCGGGCTTAGACTGGGTTTAGAACCGGGTTTAGACAGGGTTTAGATCTGGTTTAGATCTGGTTTAGACATAGTTTAGACGTTGTTTAGACCAAGTTTAGATCTGGTTTAGATCTGGTTTATTAGACTTTGTTAAGACCTGGTTTAGACCTACTTTAGACCTAGTTTAGACCTGGTTTAGACCTGGTTTAGATATGGTTTAGATGTACTTTAGACCTAGACCTGGTTTATTAGACTTTGTTAAGACCTGGTTTAGACCAGATTTACACCTGGTTTAGACTTTGTTTAGACCTTGTTTAGACCTGCTTTAGATCTGCTTTAGATTTTGTCTAGACCTGGTTTAGACCTGGTTTATACCTAGTTCAGACCTGTGGATTTTCAAAAAGATTTTCGATAGTAACTTTTTTAGCAACTTTGGTGCAGACTTGGTATATTTGCAGCTTCCTGGTGATAAAGTTTGCCCTGCATTCAATGGCTTCTGCAATTTCAAGTACTATGTGACGTCACACAGGACTGCCCTGATTAGAAGCCATGTGTTTCTGATACAAACACATGGCTGCAGGGGTGGAGTTTGGAGTGTGGATACTTGTTAGATCAATCACACTGTTCCTTACACCTCCAGACCTCGCTCCTCCTTTTTTCTCCCTGTCTTCTTTGAGTGACTCTATCAGTTTAGCTGCTCTGTTTGAAATGTGGCGCTGGGTGGAGTTCAGTTAATTAGACAAATACATCAGAAATACAAACAAAGCCATTTCAAAAAGTAAAGGTTAAGAGAAAAGCTATTGTATTGCCCACAGATTAAAATAGCAACATGATACTGTACTAAATGTGTTTGTTAATTGTTATTTTCATAAAGAGAAATAAGTTGATCAGGACTGACCCGTAGAAAGAAGGGAAACTTTCTGCCGTAGAATCCCACTCGGAAAAACTCAGGCTCCAGACGCTGCTGCTCCATGATGTTGTCGTAATAGGCCGCCTCCATTTTCTACAGCAACAGAGACAATTTTTTCATCCCCGTTTCATATTTTAACATATTTAATTATACAACAACCTCTTCATCATCATCTCAAAGACTTCTTTAAAAGTTATCATGTCAGTATAGTACACACACTGTAGTTTTAATATTTATTTTTCCTGCAAAATCCTGGTAGATTTTCCATTATTAGAGCCTTTGTAGTTGAATCTTTGATGGGAAAATGGTTAACTTTCTTTAAAGAGATTGTTTCTGTGCACTCTGAAGTATTTGTGAGAGACATCTAACAGAAATAAGTGTCTGGGAAGGTCCAAAATGGCAGTATAAATTCACCAAACGTTTACTATTTTAAACTTCTCTTGTGTTCTCTTACCCGTATCCAGCTGAGGCTCTGGTAGTCGTACAGAGATTCATACTGGAAGGCCAATTCTCTGCACAGAGGGATGCCAAACTCCCAGCACTGAAACACAGAACAAAGAAGATCCAGGCAAGTTTTCAGTGGGTTCTGACGAGTTCTGACAAAGTTTTTATGGTGCTGTACTGGGTTTGGACTGGTGCAGACGGAACTCACACTGTTCAGAAATGACTTTGGACTGGTTTTAACTGGGTTTGGATTTATTTGGATGGAACAAGGAATGAACAAGTTTGGACAGGCTGAAACTTTTTATGGTTTGTAAGTGCTTAATCTGGGTTTGGGCTGGGTTTGGTCTAGAAAGGTCAGAAAGTAGAGGTCTGCAAGGGACAGAATTTTCAGTCCTGCTCCTGCCCACATCTGTGATATTTTGTCCCACTCCTGCTCCCACCCGTTCACGTTCACTTTCTTAAGCTCTATCAAACACGGAGAAGAGGAAAGGAATTGTTAAATACAGTGGTCCCCAATTTTTTGCGCCACGGACCGGTTTATATCGGACAATAATTTGTGGACTGGAGGGAGTTGGGAGGAGGCGTGGTGGGTGGTCCGGCGGCATGGTTAAGTCCTGGCTAAATCCTGTTTTAGTCAGAATTTTAGACCTGTTTTAGACCTGTTTTATTTCTGGTTTAGTCCTGGTTTTAGTCCTGTTTTAGTTCTGGCTTAGTCCTGGTTTTAGTCCTGTTTTAGTTCTGGCTTAGTCCTGGTTTTAGTCCTGTTTTAGTCCTGGCTTTTAGTCCTGTTTTAGTTCTGGCTTAGTCCTGGTTTTAGTCCTGTTTTTAGTCCTGCTGGTTTCTTTTTAGTCTGGCTTAGTCCTGTCCTGGTTTTTTTAGTCTGGCTGTTTTTTAGTCCTGGTTTTAGTCCTCTGGCTGGTCCTGGTTTTAGTCCTGGTTTTAGTCCTGGTTTTTAGTTTTTAGTCCTGTTTTAGTCCTGGTTTTTAGTCCTGTTTTAGTCCTGTTTTAGTCCTCTGGCTGTTTTAGTCCTGGTTTTTAGTCAGTCCTGTTTTAGTCCTCTGGCTTAGTCCTGGTTTTAGTCCTGGTTTTAGTCCTGTTTTAGTTCTGGCTTAGTCCTGGTTTTAGTCCTGTTTTAGTCCTGGTTTTAGTCCTGTTTTAGTCCTGAGTCCTGGTTTTAGTCCTGTTTTAGACCTGTTTTAGTTCTGGCTTTTTAGTCCTGGTTTTAGTCCTGTTTTAGTCCTGTTTTTTTTAGTAGTCTGCTTTAGTCCTGGTTCGTACAGTCCTGTTAGTTTGCAGGACTACACTTTGTCATCCCACCCGCCCGTTCCTGCCCACGTCCGCAATGAGTCAAAATGTGTCCTGCGCCGCCCTGTTTTGCGTCGGGTCCCGCGGTGCAGGGCTCTATCAGAAAGGTCAGGGTTCAGAACAGGTCAGGTCTGTATTTAGACATGTTCAGCCTTGGTTCAGGATCTGGGCTGGTTCTGAGGATGTTTGAACAGGTCTAAAGCAGGTATGGGCCGGTCCAGAGTGCATCTACACAAGTTCTAACTGGATTTGGGCTGATCCTGGGGATGGGCAGGACATCGTCTGCGACTGTACCTCCTTTTAGCCATCAATAAAACTGCTTTGTTAATTTTTGTGCAAATAATTTGTGAAGCTGATTCATCAGATCATTGTTTCATTTACTTATTTTCAATGAGAGGTTTAGCGTTAGCCTCCAGGTTGTTATGGCGACATGAGTAACAGCAGTCGTACCTTTCCCTTGTTGAAGTAGTGGATGACTTTGCGGCAGAGTCCTTCTTTGCGGTGCCACTCGCTCTGGGCCGGGTAGTGCAGGAACTCTCTGAGTGGACGCTCATCCCAGTGAAGCAGCTCCCAGTACAGCAGCAGAGTGAACGCAGCCTCTGTCACCAGCATACAGACGAGTGTTTAGATAATAGGAATATAAATATCATTACTATTTAAACCAAAGGAAAGTCTATGATGAGCTCCAACAAAAATATTCAAACCAAAATCACAACTCTGAGTTAAGTTTAAAGAAGAGGGATTACACTTCTATGGAGTATTAATTTCATTTTTTTTTCCCCCTCCCTTTGCTATTTGCCATTTCACTAATTAAACAACTGCACAACGCATCAGGTTTGTGAAGTTGTAGTGCATAGATTTGTATTATGTTTTTGTATATTTATGGAAAATTGTTGTGCAGGAACATGGGTGACGTACAGTCGGCTTGTGGGCTGAACAATGGAGAGAATTGTACTGTTAACTATAAGGAGGGTTTGACTAGGACCCAAAAGAGATCGCTAGATTACTCAAACATGCATGGATGACATCTTAAACCATGTTTTTGATGAGTGAAAGTTATAACAGAGTTGGCCAAGTAAATTAAACTATGTACATTTTCAGACAATGTCCTTTCTTTTATCTCATTGCATTATTTACAGTCAGTGTTGTTCACGTTGCGTGCAGTGTACCTGTGTAGTTCTCCGCCTGCAGGTGCATGTCACACAGTTTGTGGATGTAGCGGATGTACATCTCCTCTTTGTTGATCTCAGATTTGTAGAAATTCTAAAAGGACAGAGAAGAAAATGGTTTAAAGAACACAAGGGAATATGTCACAATTTCAATCACTTCCCTGACCTTGTATAAACACACAACCACTCAAAAGTTTGGACACACTTTTACATTTTTATTTTTATTTTCATGACTATTACATTGTAGATTCCAAATGAAAGCACCACAATTATGAATGAACAGATGTGGAATGTAGTAAACAAAAACAAAAACAAAAAAACTAAAACCACCCTTTGCTTAGATTGCTTCTTTGGACAATTGGCACACCTGTGAAGTGAAAAACACCAAGCTGACTGAGGGAAGGCCAAGGGTTTGCAGCATTGCCAGGTGGATACTTAGAGAATTTGAATATAAAACATAAAAAAAAAGTTACATTATTTAACTTTTTCTCTTTGCAACATAATTTCATTGCTCTTGCTTCATATATTTGATGTCTTTTGTGTGTATCTAAGATGAGGAAAGTAGTAAACAAAAAAAACAAAAAAAACGAATGAAGAGCTGTGTCCAAACGTTTGACAACAGGTGGTAAATATCATGTAGGAATCTTTTGCAAATTAAGACTGCCCTTATAACCCATACATTATCTCCACATATATACTAAATATACTTTAAATGACAGACTAATTCTGTCCAGCAGGTGTCAGTGTGTCACTATTCTTACCAGCAGGTTCACAGTGCAGCCGATCTTCTTATTCTCAGTCTCATCTCCTTTCATGCAGTCCCTGAAGAAATAAACATACATAAATATTTAACACTCCAAACTTGTTCTATACCATTTCTTTTAATACACAACCACACTTTAATACTTTAATACACACTTTATCTGGTCCTGGCTAGTTAGTTTGGTTGGAGTCGAGTCCTTTTTCAGTCACGTGGTAGTCCTGACTTCAAATCATTTTTTAAGAAAACATGTTATGCTTTTTTCTAGTATTTAGAGTTAAACTATAACATACATAGGTCATTATTATACATTTCACTCATTGTAATCTGTAATATTGATTTACTAATTTTCAAATCAACTTGACCCAAAATATGAAAGTTTTAATACCGTATTTTTCGGACTGTAAGCCACTTTTTCATGATTTGGTTCTGCAATTTATACTCAGGTGCAACTTATATATTAAAATATATGATTTCACATGTTGGTTATTTTCACACAAACAGTCACGAGGGCAGTTTAGGCTCGTGTGCCAGAATTATACTCCTATTACTCTGGTGCCACTGTCACTTCACTCTACTGAGCATGTCTCCTGCAGAAAGAGCCACTGTCCTGTCTGGCATCATGTGGACAGGGCTAGTTGTTTAATCAGGTATGAGTAGATGTCGGGCAACTGAAGTCTAAGTTTCTTCTCGTCACTTACACACTCATCTGCATTTAACGCATATGGGCCATTAAGGCATATCCCACTCAATAATGTTAATTAATGTTAGTTAATAACTTATTCTATCACACAATAAACTGGTAATCGTATTTTGCAGATTACAAGCTGCAAGTAGTGAAATATGCAGCTGAAAACGATAACTGAGCAGCAGAAAGACTTACGAGGGATTGACAAAAAAAGGAGAACACTCTAACTGCAATGAAGAATACAAAAAAACTTATAATAGTGTAACAATAATAATACATAACACTTGTACAGCGCTTTTCAAGATACTAAAAGATACTTTACATGAAGAGACAAACTAAAGCAAACAAGAAATAAGATAGTTAATGAAAGGTGGTTTTAAAGAGATGGATTTTTAGTTTAGTTTTGGGGAGTGCGGATGAGTCTCTGTTTTAAATAATCACAACTAAATAGAGAGCAGTGGGCGGAGACAGGGGGTATGTGAAACGTACATTTTCTGAACACTCAAACTCTAAGCTAATGATGAAGGGACACCATTATAACACCAGGTTGTACTGGATTCTAAGATCAGTATTGGTACCCGTACATCTATAGCACCTGAATACTACTACAGATGTTAAATTAATTTACCTGTAATCTAGCAGCCGCTCCATTAACCTAGTCACAGAAGTCACAAACGAAATTCCAGTTTCTCTCCAAGTCTCCTGCTCGATCTTCTCCAACAAACTTCAAAATACAAGACAACAATAACATCAGAAATCCAAAAATGACGGAAATAAAACTCTATTTAAAGGCGAATTGTGTAACTTTGTCAGAATGCCTGTTTTTCTAGGTATTTTTGAGTTATGAAACCACTTGTAGTTTAGTAAATGTAAGATTTAAAGTACAGTTTAATGTCATACTGAAGCAGAGCAAGGACATATCCATAGACACAACAAAAAGTTACAAAGTGTAGCTTTAAAGGTGAGTGCTAAAGCCATCTGAAGCAGTATTAGTATTGCAGTATTAGTATGTACAGTAGTGTGTGAGGTGAAGCGTACCTGGGATATGGCCCAAAGAGCTGGGTTCTAGTCCAGCAGCACAAAGCAAACCACAGCAGGTTAGAGCAGGAAGACAACAGTCAGTTTGTTACACAGAAAAAGAAGAAGAAGAAAAAGAAGAAGAAAGAACTGTGTGTTAGTGTTAAAGTCAAGAGGATTCAGATCAAACTTGGACTTAGTCATTGGTAGAAGTGGGTAGACTGTCCAGAAATTTTACTCGTGGTTAGGATGTAACAAATCAAAGTTTTCATAATTCCTTTTTCAAAAGCATTGTTTTATTGAAGCAACAGCTAAAAATGGAGGAAACTACATAGACTGTGATCTTTGTTCTATTTCACTGCAAAAAACATGGAAAAGTAACTGTTATAAAGAACGTTTCTATCTTAATTCTTTGGGCTATAACATTAATACAGCCCCAAGTCAAGGCTTTTTAAAAAGAAAAAATTGAGTTTCTTCAATTCTGGTAGGATCTCCACAATATTGCAATAATATTGTATTGTGAAATGAAAATCATAATTGTATTGTACCATGTGATTTACAAAGCGTTACACCCCTTCCCTTGGTTAAAGAAATGACACAAGAGGAAAAAGGTATTTGGGAAAACTACTCCTCAACTTAGAGTAACTACTGGAATGTGCCATCTGATTTATAATTTGAAGTTAATGTCATTGGAAAGACAAAACGTTAAATTAAATAATGCATAGTCTGTGTTTCCAAATGATACACAATGTGAAAAACTAAATCATATCTGACAGAGCAGTGCAAGAATCACAAATGTTCAAATAATTCTGTATAGCCAACATGAAGTTTTTGTCACTTTTGGGAAGAGTAACCGAAACCTTTGCGAGTGAGAATACTGTTACTTCAATAAAAAAGCATAATTTCTTTAAAAAAATGTACTCAAGTAAATGTAATGGAGTACAACCCACCTCTGATGCTTTGTTACAAGAAATAAAGACAAAGAAATTCTGATCTAAGGCAAGTTTTTAAGATGTTTTTTTAGATAAAGGCAGGTGTAAAGGGCCAACACACCACTAGGGGGCACCAAGGCTGAACTATAAATTTGAACTGAAGCATTGTGTACCTGGTATGTATAGTCATATTTTTTACATTGAACAAAAATGTCACTTAATATTGTGTGTTCATAATGAATTCAGTATGAAACATGCTTAAAATTGAATGACACATATTCCTATTATTGCTGCTGATCACTTGTTCTCCCTTATATTATTTTTTATGTATTTATATAACATAAAAATGGCAGATTAACATGATTTCAGGCCAAAATTAGACCAAAATAGTTCAGTAGTATCAAAACTACATCAGAATCACAAACATAAGAACTTACAATTGGTCTTGTAAGATACATTTCTCATACATTTATTTATTATAGGACATTCTTGAATAAAATAAGCTTCCTTGGTTAGTTTGATCACATCAAATAGGGTCAAATACAGAGGACAAATTTCAATATGGGGACAATAAAGTGTGCCGTATCAACAAAACGTCTTAAAATTTCTATATTCTTCAATACCAAACCCAATCTTTGCGCTAACTATGGTCCTGACAACTATAGTAGTGTAGAGTTTTTTCAATCAATCAATCAATCAGACTTTATTTATAGAGCGCTTTTCATGCAAAAAATGCAAAACAAAGCAGTTTTTATAGTAACATCGCAGTCTCTAAGTACAGAGAGGTTAGAGTATTGTGTGTGTGTGTGTGTGTGTATTTACAGCAGACTGAAGAGCTCCCTGTAGTTCTCGTCTCCTTTGCCCTCGGACACCAGGCTGTCCAGTTTGTCGATAAGCTCCGCCTCCACCTGCACACACCAACAGATAGTAGATTTATGTCATCATTTATAACATAAATGATAATAATAGTTTTTTTATTGTCATTATAAGTGAAAATATTATAGAAAAGTGTTAATTGTTTTGTTTAAGTACACTTTTTTTTTTACCATATCCTCCATCTTACTATGCATGTTGTATATTAGTAGCGATAAAACAAAATAAGTAATTTACTATTGATAAACTAGCATACATTTATAGAGAGATCATTTATTTTGCTTATTGCCAACTGCTAAACTTATCTAAAATGGCTTAATCTTAGAAACAGGTTCATTGGCTTCCTCTTCAAAACTGTAGAACTGAGAAATCCTGCCTCATCATAGTGTCATTTCACCATTTAGAGTGATTTTAGTTTTGAAAAGTGACTAAGAAACTGTTGTAAACATTTGTGTATGACCCTGACTCTGAATTTAAAAAGTACATAGTTGTGGGCAGAGATAGGGGGCAGATGAAGACATTTTCTGAGCACTCAAACATTTGTGAATTGCTCAAATTAAAGTTGTGATCTTACGATGAGTGAGTGGTGAGGTAGTACTGTTACAAAAAGTACAAAAATTAAGATGGTTTTGCATAATTAAATCAAGCTATTGGAAAATCAACTACATTGTCTCAGGCCCTTAGGTTACGTTTACACTGAAATCACCGTATCACCATATCGAAAACTATTTGCATCCAGACATGATCCACACAATAATGCAAAACTGCCTGAAATGCTAGTCACATGATTAGGCTGGCGTCACAAAATCACAACGTCATGTAGGTGGTAAAAACAAGGAAGTGGAGCACCGTGTCTGAAGTTGCAGCAGCCAGTTTTGAGCCGAGGAAGATGGTAAACATGAAAGTAGTAAGTAGTTCTACCTATGCTGTTTCCTGTTTATCTATGGTTTGTTTAAACTGTTTTCCGCAATAGCGTCACATGACCGATGTCACAAACCCAACGAATCAGGAAGGCACAAGTCACAGTGACGTGGTCCAATAAGGACGGCCACCAGAGCTCCTACGTCAGCGTATCAGCATTTTCAGGTGTCCACTCAGTTCCAGATCAGATCCATACTCAGACAAATTTGTGGGAACTGGCAGCACCAGATCATTTCGTCTCTGGAGCCATTTTCCATCATATCCTACACTGCATCTGCAACGAAAAACACTCAAATTCATACTAGTGTGGATGGGGCCTTAGCTGTCACCTGTTTGAAGTTCCCATTCTTGCGCTGCTCCCAGTCCATCATGTCGTGGAAGATTGGGATCATGATGTTCCTCACTTCCACCTGAGGGACCAGAGTCACCCCCAGGAACGGCCCGATCATGCCAGGGATGAAGTGAATTTTGTTTTCACCTAAAATCAAACAGTTTAGCTTAATCCCAAATCAAAATCACAAATTCAAAGCTTTTTAAAATCAGACGTGGAAGCCTCACCCAGGTTCTGCCACATGTTGAAGAGGTCATAGGTCATCATCACTCTCATGTCCCCGTATCTGAAGATGAAATATTGAATTGAATCAGATGAGCATGCTATTAAAATGCAATAAAAATAAGAATTCACTTAAGAAATTAAGTGTAATTTATGATGTGCTCAGGGTGGTCCTTAAAATATATGAACCTTAATTTCATTCATACCCACACAGAAAATAAATGTTGGTAATTTTTTGTTATAATTTTTCACCAGTTTTGGTACTGATAATAACAATGTAATTTTATTAGTGTATAAGTTTAAGGCTAAGTTTAAATTATAAACTGTAACTTTTTTTTTTTTTTTATAATTCAAAGTTTCGTAAAGAAGAAAATTACTTCTATGGGGTATTAACTGTTAACACATAATATATTTAGATGACCATGTTACCATTTATGGTTTTGAAAATGCTATATAAAAACATTCACTTTGTTTTCGATGCTCTGAGTCACCCCACCCTTAGCTCTCTGCACTAAGTCACTCCCCCTTCAGAGCACTATCACAATACAATCAGGTTTGTGAAGTTGTTGTGTAGAGTTTTGTATCACGCTTTTGTATATTTATTTAGAATGTCACGTGGGAGCAGGGGTGATGTAGGCTTGTGGGTGGAGCCTTGCACAAAATTTTACAGCTAAACATAAGGAGGGTTTGAACAGGGCCTAGGAGAGATCGCTAAATTACTCAAACATGTTATGGATGATATTTAAAACATCTTCTGGCATGTTTCTGATGAGGAAATAACATTATAACATGGTACAAAGCTATAAAAAAAACAATTTTGCACAGTACAACCTGGTTTAATGAAATATAATTGTTAAATACGTAAATAATTTGTGTAATAAAGTAATAAAATAGTTGATTAGAGACATAAATTGACCTGATGGCTGCTAAACTAACTCTGTCTCCTCCATAGAGTCCCAAAAATATTAAATCATTTTATGCAAACTTTTTTTTTGCTTGAGGTAGCCCTGCTTTTAATATGCACTATCCCATATTACTACTGGGGACAATTTAGTGGAGAGCACCCATTAAAAAAGTAAATGAACACCCCCGTGGTTACAGGTCTTGCAGAAGATTCAGAAAGTAGGGCAGAGCTATACTGTCACTGCTGCATTATAAATACACTTTCAACTCCTCAGCCATTTTGCCACACGTGACGTTTAGAAAGTTACACGTGATAGTTATGGCGTTAAATTTTGCAGAAATACGTAAAAAGATGAGCGATATAAGAATCATACTTGTCTAATATTTTCTTCTTCTTGGTGGGGCTCAGGTTTTCCAGTTGGAAGGCTGGGCTGGTTGATGTAGAGCACGGCCAGACTGAAGTAAGAGTTCCACACCTGCACAGAACCAAAAATACAATATGTTATTTAAAAGAACGTGTTTGGTACATTTTTCATAATATTTCAAGTCCAATCCACTTTATTTCTATAGCACATTTTATTAACAAAGACTGTTTCCAAAGTGCTGCACAAAGAAAAATCAAAAATACAAATAAAATAAAATACAAATAAAAGTAAAATCAAATAAATAAAACAGTGAAATACACCTGTAAGTATAAATAAATAAAATCAGTAAAACAAAACAATAAAATCACACAACTCATTCTGTTATTTGTTTAAATGCTAAATGAAAAATTGACATTTCATTCAAATAGTAGCCTACTTTTTGTTTGTGCATTGATTTTTAATCTTCTAGTTTCCGTATTGTGTTTTGATTCTCAATCAGATTATCCAATCAGAAAGCAAAGCAAGATCTTTACGTTGAGTTGCCAGATCCTACAACTAAAACCAGTTTGCAAAAAAAGGTCTCTGTGATATAATGTGTCCTTCAGTATGTGGCTAATAGTATCCTTGTTTCATTTGGGATAATATTGATAATTTTTTTTTTACCAAGTACTGTATTTTTCAGACTATGAGTTGCACTTTTTTTCATGGTTTGGGTGGTCCTGCGACTTATACTCCGGTGCAACTTATATATTCAAATATTCAGACTGACAGCCGCAAGAGGGCGCTTGTGGCTTGTGTGCCAATATCTGCTGCTCGTATTACTCCTGTACCACTGTCACTTCACTCTACTGTGCATGCCTTCTGTAGAAATAGCTGCTGTCTCACTGCAAATAGTGTTATATGCAGCCAAAAACTGTAATTGAGCAGCAGAAAGAAAGTTTGGAGTGAGCAGGAAACTTGTGAGGGACTGGTGGAAAGCGGGGATGGAGAACACAGCTTCACAGGAACAGGGCGGGTGCGCCATGCAACTTTCCTGGAAGTCACTGGATGAATCAACAAAGCCTGAACTTCAATGACAACCGAAACCATCCTGTCGGGATTCAGAAAGGCTGGAATAATTCTAACTGGAACTGATGCTGAGTCTGACGACAGCTACGCAGAAAAGGAAGCGACACACTGTTTACATCATGGATCTATGGTTTATCTCCGAAGGTAGAACACAAGTGACACCGAGGATGAAGAATTCAATGAATTTAGTAATTTGGAGTGACATCGTGACTTTGGTAAACTTAATGTTATGTTGTTTATGCTATAATTATCTGAATAACTGTTAATATGTTACATTAACATATTAACGCCTATTCAGTCTGTTGTTCTCTATTCTGTTGTTATTACTATAACTTGCCTTTCAAGATTAAATGTCGGTTCCTGGACTCTGACTTTACAAAATACGTTTCCCCAAAAAGTGTGACTTATAGTCTGGTGCAACTTATATATGTTTTTTTCTTCTTCATTGAGCATTTTTTGGTTGGTGCGACTTATACCCCGGAGCGACTTATAGTCCGGAAAATAGGGTAGTTATGCAGGTTACTTGAATTTTCCTTGGGATTAATAAAGTGTCTGTCTGTCTGTTACAGCTATTACCTTTAAATGGAATGCTTATTAAACTGCAGCTCAAACTCAAAGTAATTATTTGAATACATAGGAGGAAAGTGATTTTGTAACTAGAAGAATTCAACATTTGTAATATTGTAATTTATTTAAAACCACAGCAGACATTGAGGTGAGTTTGTTACAGAACTTTTCAGGATTTTTATAGTTATTATTTTCTTCTTTAAACTAAAAAAATCTAAAATTAGTTTGCAAGTAAAAACAGCAAAATTGTCTGACATATTGATTGCGTACCTTAAAATCAAACTCGGCGTCTGTGAAGTTCTTGTGAAGAGCTGGAGACAGATATTGTGTTGTTGTCAAGATGATACTGGGGAGATAAGAAAGAACAATGTCAGTTATTTGTGTAAAATGTAAACAAGTTTGAGTCAAATCCAATTAAAATATTACTCATGTACAAGTGTTGTGTCTATATTATCTAAGATGCTTGGAGTTGTGTGTCTTACTGGCTGGTGAGGAGCCGCATGACGTTCCAGTCTCGAGGGAAAATACTGAGCTTCATCAGATTTCTGAACACACACAAAATCTTCAACAGAAACTCCTGCAGAGAGAGAAAGAGAAGGAAGAGGGGAGAGGGAGAAAGAAAGAGATACAGACAGAGAGAAAGAAGAGAAGAGGAGTGGAGTGGAGAGTGTGTTGACTCAGCAGGGCATAGTGTTGAAATATCAGCTTCATAATATTAGAATTTTTAAAACCAACATATATTTCAAGTCTTTTACCTACAATTTAGACATACAAATACATTCCCTAATACAAGCCTAAATAAAATGTACAATATCTAGCCTATTAATAATTCCTTTCCTAAAATTTTACCTTTGTTTTGTCCTTAAAGATCCAATATATATGCAGTATTTTTCTAAGTACTTGGGCGCCTTAGCTTCGACTTGTCTCGTTTAACTTAGAATATATGTGTGTTTAGAAAATAGCTCCAGGCTTTAGTTGTCAGTAAGTGCTCCTAAATTGTGTATATGGTGTTTTAATAACATTATCTACTGTTCCAAATCATTTCAGTCTTTTTTATTATATACAACTCGCTGGTAATGCCCTACATAACCTACTGTATTGAGATTTGGGGCAATACAAATAAGACTAAGACAAATCCGAGCTTACCTTGCAAAAAAGGCAATAAGAGCAATCACATTATCATCTTATAATGAACCAACCAATGTGTTATTTATAAACCTTCAAACTCTGAAATTTTATGATTTAGTTGACCTTTACACTCTGAAATTCATGTTCAAAGGAAACAACAATCTCTTTTCAAAATCATTACAGAATATGTTCAAAATCCAAAATAGCCAGATTAAAGAGCCCATCTCATGCCAAATCAACTTTTCAGAGCTTTCTACCTTCTAAGAGCGATGTGTGGGCCTTGTATATGTTGCCGAAGTGGTTTTTAGATTGATTTGGCATTTTTTTAAAACAAATTGCAGTGTATTTCTGCCACCTTCCCACGTGACAATGAACTAAAGCTGCTACAAGATGATGCGGCAGCTACACCTATGACGCGTTTGACGTAGCAGAAAGCGCTTCGCCTCGTCCGATTCCAGGTCCAACACATAAGGCTGAACGTGCTGTATCTCCATGATGAATAAAAGTTTATTCCTACCGCTATCAGGGTGCACTGTGCCTGTCTCCCCCTCCCTCCCTGAGATGGACGGAGGAAGGGCGGCTCACTCAGAGCCTATGTCACGTTTGGAGGGCGGAGCTTGTGCTTTCTCAGGACGGGCGGGGGGATGAGCAATAGTCATTCATTCATAGTTCCTGGTCTGTGATTTTCTCCAAGAAATCGGAAAGATTTCATAACTATTGTGTAACGGATGTTCCAAAACCCAAACTGTGCTTGTATATGTGCAGAAGATACAATGTGAAAAGAGTTATTTTGCATGAGATGGGTCCTATAAGCTCGGAGATACGGCTATGTTTATCAAAAAGAAAATCAGAACAAACATGAAATTTTGTATATCGGTTAAAGGGTTGGACCTCTGGAACAACTGTACAGAAAACCTAAAATTGTGCACCACTCTCTTCCATTTCATAAAGAAGTTTAAATGTTTAACTCTGGGCAGATACATGGATTATGAGACTTAGTTCGTGTTACAGTACTTTGTTGCCCTGTTACTGATTTGTTTGTTTCCTCTTGCTGTATTTATGAATATGAACTGATGTCAAGATGAAGCTCTGACAAAGGAATAAAGGACAAAGACAGATTAAGCTCAAAGTTAAACCTAGACCTTTTTGGTCAGTGTATGTTAAATATAACTGTGAAATAATGTCAGAAAATACCTGTGACTGAAATAAATGAATCAATCAATTTCAAATTTCAAATAAAAAATGCCTAAATGTAAGTTTGTGCTGCCTTCAGTGGCCTCTGCGACTCCAAGTAGCTGGTAACATCACGAAAGACTGCCCCGGTCTGGCTGCAAGGGCAGAGTTTGAAGTGTGGATACCTGTTAGAACAATCACACTTTTCCTTATACCTCCAGAGCCGCCCTTTCTTTACCATCACTCTCCCCTTTAGTCCTCCAAGTACTGCCCAGTTTAACAGCTCTATGGCCATGTCTCATTTCTATTTTCTCGCTTCCTTCTCATTGATTCCTTTCCTCGATCCTCCATTTTTCAGCTGTCAATCAAATGTGTCTTATGAAGTGGTGTCCCAAAGAAAACCAGAGAATGAAGGAGTAAACATGAGGGAGGCTTCAGGAGGCAGACATCAGATAAAATAATTTAACTTTACTGGTCTCAGTGAGGAGTTTATATCCTCTGTCCTCTGTGTCTCCTCTTTGAGTGGGACTACCTCACCCATTTCTTGCAGAATCAAGGGGAAAGAAGCGAGGAAAGAGAAATGAGAAACGGCCTCTTTGAAATGAGACTGTGGGAAGAGTTTAGATGTTTAGCCCTACTTTGATTTGTACATACGAGCCAGAAGAGGGTGTTTACTTAAATCAAACTACCATGTTTAAAACTAAATACTGCAGAAAAATAAGTACTTTTATTCTAGGTTAAGTGTGTACCTTGAGCTCGTCTTTGCTCTGGAAGTTCTCCATCATGCGTTGGAAGTGGATGTCCGTCATCTGTCGAAGGAGGGACAGGAGGCAGGACACGTACTCTCCCTGCCAATAGGAAGCCAGGATAACACAAAGCAGCCAATCAGACGGAGGCAGAGACAGGAATTTAAAACAACAACAACAACAACAGGAAAACACACAACGGAATGGTAAAAAATATAAAAAGGTCCAGCAAAATCAAGTAATTAATCAATAAATAATAAAAACTGAATTACAAAAAAATAATCAGAGTAGCAGTGCAGATAGAAAGTGGTTGTCGAAAATAAATTACAACATAAAACGACAAAAAAATATGAAAGAAGCAAGTTTTCATAAATATGAGGCTGCGTTCACACTTTCCTGATTGGATCCTGGCTGAGCCCAGATTAGTCCTGATGTGATCTTAGTTTGGTCTTGGATTAGTTCTGGTTTAGTCTGGGTTTAGTAGCAGCAACAGTTTTGATGTAATGTGTGTGTGAACGCAGCCTCGTTTACTACAAACAGAAAGAAGAATGAGCAGAAGAATAGAATGGGGTAAAAACTAAAGATCGGGCAGAAGTTACTCATATGAAATCACATTTTATTAGCCTCATAGTATAACTGCCTAAATCAAGGGTTTTGGGAAAATCTGCTTAGATCAATAAGATGACTGAGGCAGTTTGTATTTTTTTGTAAAAATCATTCTGACTGGCTGGGGGCGGAGCCAGTGACATCTACAGATGCAGCAGGATCTGGAAAGTACTGAATAATGAGACAGAAAACCAAATTTGGTCCAAAAATGACTTTTGCTATGTTATGTAATGAGGCTGGCAATGATAAAAAATAAGACTGTTGCCATAGTGATCAACAATTAGTAACAAAATATTATATCTTGAATGGGGAAAAGTCCTTAAAATGTATAACAGGAAGCTAAAACTAACCACAGTAAGTACTGCCCGGTCTTGAGAGAGTACACATGTACACACAGAACAGAGGGTAGGGGAGGTATTAAAAGTAGTAGTGGAGTGTTAGTTACTAACAGTGATCTCCGCGGTGCACTGCGGACAGCGTTGGCCTCTTACCGCCTCCTGCGATTGGCTCTTGCTCATGATTGACAGCAGCGTTTGAAGGAGGACGTCCAATAAGGACTCCACCATCATCTCCACCTCCTCCTGCACCGAGCTCTCCTACAGTCACACCAACATTCAAACACTTCAACAAAAACAAGCCAGGACTCTTTCTTTGCCTTTCAAACAGAATATGTGAGAACGTTTTTGGTTTCATATGATGATCGATTCCCGCTCAGACCAAGTTCTGCTGTTGTGTCCTTAGGCTATATACATTTACACCTTGCTTAGTGTGTGTGTAAGTGTTGGTGGTTGGAGGGGAAGAAGGCGCTTATTGGCAGCCTCACTTCCATCTGTCTGTCCCAGGGCAGCTGTGGCTCGAGAAGTAACTTACCACTGTGAAAAATGCCTACAGTGTGGTACTTTGTGATGCTTTAACGAGTCTGTAAAGTCCATGTACTTAACAGATCGGCTAAAGGTGTTAGTTATGAACCTTCTCTAATCAGATCAGATAGAAGAATTAAAAGGGCTGTCTCTATCTGTGTGGGTTTAAGGGTAGAGAGCTTTCAAAATGAGACTCTTGGGGCCTATCTCCCCTAGAACCATCCCCAGTGAATCCACCCTGTAAATAAACCCTGTGGCATTAAAGCTCTAGTGCCGCCTAAGTCGCTGTGGTTACCCTGGCACAGTTGTTGATGATGGAGAAGATGGAGCTGAGGATCCCTGAGCAGATGAGGAGCTCCTTCTGCTGTCGGAGGTGCAGGTGGATGTGATGGAGGACCACAGGCAGAAGAATCCTCCGAGACTCTGAGGAACCGACACAGAAGAGCACAAGACACACAGAGGTCAGCTGTTTTTAAATTGAAGTCCATCCAAAATACAAAGATAATTTAAACGCATGGAACTCAACTAAATAAAGGTTTTGTAATTTATTTGTATTAGTCAGTTCATAACAAAAAAACATCATTAATTTGGCAAGAATTTTTTTAAAATCAGGAGCCAAGAAATCACTCCAGGAATAACAACTATAGTGAAGTATTGTCTATTATTTAAGCTTGTTTCGTTCAAATGTCACCACAAGAAAGGATTGCAGAGCTGATTATATTTTTATACTATTGTGTTCAGTGAATTATAGAGGAGCTCAGAGCAGGGTCCTGATGTCAGACAAGAACAGTGAGATTGCATTAGGGATAGCAAGCTTCTGATTAGTTCTAAATAGCATTTTTTATGACTGACCCAATATTATAATTATAAAATATTTAATTAACTGTAAAAAGGTATGCATTTTATATTATTATTATTACTTTTTATGATTTATTGTTTTATGTTGGCTATAACACCTAAGAAGGTCTTGGCAAAAACACTATGATAGAAATATTTACATTTTTTAATTATATTACTTTAATTATATGATAGTGTAAAAGCTACAATATTGTGTTCCTTCTACTTATCCAATAACTCCGCTAATGTTGCAGAAACTAAACAAAAATCTAAACTTTGTTCATTGTGTTTTCAACATTTAAAGGTGCAATCTGTTAGCCTGATTCATAAGCTGGTTTCACTTCATTTCACTTCGTAGAAACCATCTGACCTCGCAGTGTTAGAATTTGTTCGCTTGACGGTAGGTGGGTACTTTTTTTTTTTAAACCAAACGCTGTTATTTGGTAGTGACATATGCAATGCACCGCTAACGGGGGAACTGGGCTAACTTAAGCTTTTCTCAAATCCCGTAGGAAGAAGGGCAATAACGTCTTTCCCGTTGATAAAATTTACGAAACATTCTCTTTATTCAGGCTTTAAATCCTCGATCTCAGGAATCGTTGACAACACAGATGTATGGTTCTTCGCTCATTGACTGGTGCCCGAACTTGCACTTCCGGGGTTTTTGTGAACCATCTATTGCATTTTGATTCCTGACCTAGTCGCTGGAGAGAAATGAAATTGAGCAGAGGCACTAGGTGGAGCCAGCCTGACTAGCAATCTGTAACTTTTCTGGTGAGAGGGTCTCCTACATGCTTGTCTTCATGGAGATGTTGTTGCTTTGTCTGGAATATTTTACAGTATGGCATTAAATTTATCAATCAAATATTTTATTATTCCCTAAATACTTTCAAAAACACACATTCTTACCATACACCCTTTAAGCAAACATGCCCCCCAGAGATCTGACTTGTAACTTGGCATCACCTGTCTCCATGGATATAATATGTTTAATGCCATACTGTGTAATATTCCAGACAAAGCTATAACATCTCCATCTCCATGGAGACAAGGAGGTGACGGACCATGCACCAGTAAAGTAGCCTCCTGCAGCATTACCTGGGAAGGAGAAGAGCTTGCTGTCCACAGTGCGGGCTATAGACTGCAGTTTGACCACGTCCATGGACTGGCCGATGTGCACGGTGGACGGCATGCTCCCCAGGGTCCCACGCACGAACTCAGCCACCTCCTGCACCGAGAACATCTGCAGGAGCTCGTCAAAGATGGCCGGGAAGGAGTTGAGCAGAGCAGCCTGGAAAACACAGGAGGAGAGAGAGAAGGTGAGGAGGAGGAGAGGAGAGAGGGAGTTATGAGGGAGGAAGAAAGGTTGAAACCAGTGAAGATACAAAAAGAATCAGTGGTTAAAGAAAAGAGCTAAATTTCAAATTGGAAGCAGAATTTGGGTGGAGGAATAAAATTATATAGCAGGAAATTAAGGGGGGAAACTTTTTTTTTTTTTTTTTTTTTCCATTAAAGGAACAGTCAGGAATTTTAAACATAGGACCTCATTTCCTAGTGATCCAGAGTGTTGGACACGTGTGGAGACACTTTTGAAATATTCCATCCAGTCTTTGTATTTGCAGAGGTCGCTGGTGCTAGGCTAGTGCATGTCAATGGCCATAGTTAGCCTGCCACTAAAAACAGTTTTACCTGCTCCACAAAACACCCGAAGCAAATCTATTATTACTCCAGACTGTCGATGTAAATGTGTGTGTTGATAGAATAATTTTAGAAGTAAAACCAACCTTGGATTTATGTCTGATTAGCAGCAGCATTGAGTTGTACTTCCTGATAGAAAGCTTGGCAGCAGCGGATTGATATATGAGAAAATAGTCCCTCAACATGCGACCATTCATGCGATGCAAGGTTAGTTTTATTTCAAACATTATTCTATCGACACAGACATTCACATTGACAGTCTGGCTTAATAATAGATTTGCTTTGGGTGTTTTGTGGAGTGGGTAAGACTGTTTTTAGTGGCAGGATAACTATGGCCATTGACATGCACTAGCCTAGCACCAGCGACCTCTGCAAATACAAGGACTGGATGGAATGTTTAAAAAAGTGTCTCCACTCGTCTCCAACACTAAGGCTCACTAGGAAATGAGGCCCTATGTCCAAAATGCCAAACTATCCTTTTAATAGTAGTCATAATAATAGTGCATTGTGGAATTTAACTCTTTTGCAGGTTGTAATAGAGTCAACGCCAAATCAACATGTTAACCGTAATATTGTGGAGGAGACATGCCAAGTATATGTGGTGTGAGTGTGAGTTGTTGATGCTGTTGTTTAGTGTTTTGGTTCAAGATAATTATCCAATTAGAAAGCAAAATGAGCCTCACACAAGTCTTTCATTTGTGTTGTCAATTTCAATGTCAAAATCCAGTTGGTTTAAACCTAAAATGCCCTTTTCTGACCTGAATCCTCATTAACAAAACCCCAGCATCTGCAGCCAGTTATGAATCAGTTCTAGTGCAGCCTCTGCAGCTCAGGGAGTGAATTCTGGAGGTTCTGAGCTTTCACATGTCACCTGTCCATATACTGAGAATGAGAAAAACTTATATGTGTCTCTATCTGCAGGTTAAGGCCTTATATAGTTCCTTTAACATTAACTAATTGCATCTATTTTCTTATTTATAGACACAAGTTTAATCTAATCTAAATGAATGAACTACTTGTGTAAACACGGCTAATGGCTGGCTCTGTTTGTGTTGTCATTTTTCCCTGTGCTTTTATGTACCAAAACTTCTTTGCACTTTTAGTCAGTGCTGCGGTCTTTGCTTAAATGATGCATTCAGTGCCACTGGTTTTGCTGTAAATGGCAGTTTTGCTTAATGAATGCTGACATCAAGGCCTGACTTAATGGAGCCTGAACAGCCTTGGCGCTGAGGGGCGTTCACTGCATCGGGACATTTGGACGTCTGCTGATAGATGGATTATTATGGACAGGGATGTGACAAGTGAATAAGTGAAGAGTGGCGCTGAGTTACTTGTGTTTGTGATGCATTCAAGGGAAATCAGACAGTGGAAATGAATGGATACAAAGCATGTTTTTTAGATGGTGAGTGTAAAAAACTCCTCTAGACTTAAAATAGTAAACAAAAGTCCCACTTAGATTATTATATAGAAATAGACCATTCCGATTACAGCATTTTTGTAACTGAATAGAGTAATAATTTAAATACAATTAACAGCAGAATATTGGCCACAACGGCAAGTAAAATATTAGATTAAGGCTACGTCTGCACATAGCAGGGTATGTTGAGTAACAAATATTTCCTTCCCTCCGTTTTCCAAAATAACATCATGCACATAGCACCGTTTCAAAAAAGTTTGCGTTTACATCAACCCACATAAATACGCCATCGAACGCTGTCATAACAACGCCAAGCCTATCAGCAGCAGATTCAAACCTGTAGCATTTATTTCATTACAGTTGTAAGTACTACTCTCAAATACCTTGAAAAACATGCATTATTGAGCAGGCTCGCCTCTCCACAGATACGTTAAAGAAGTGGTAAAATCATTGACCTTCAAGCCTCATTTGTCTGTGGTCATGGATATGATACATCAGCTGTGTGTGCAAATGCAAACACATGAAACGTGTTTCACCAGAAGAAATGTGACTGCTGCTCTGAATGCTCCATGATGATCATCAGAGCAAAAGGTAAACATTGGTCGAACTTTTGGTGCATCAGCTGCCTAAAACTCAGTTTATCTCACCTTACACGCAAATGCGAAACAGTAGTTTTCCACAATCTCCATTCTAGCTGGAATTTTTAAAGATTCGTTTTCAGAGGAAAATTTGCCGTGTGCCTGTAAAGGACGGGTACAAAGGAAGGGAAAGGTCTCAGTTTTTAAAAATACCCGTGTATGTGTAAATGGGGCCTAAAAGTCAGTATTCGTAAAATGGATTTGCTGGCATTTTTTCCTGCTTTTAAAATCTGTTGCTGTTCTTGAACTTTGGTTGCCTGGGATCTGGAATACACATCTCTTCAATATTTTATGAGTCTAGTCATTCCTTGAATCTCCCCGAGTTCAGATAGGCGTGACTGACAGGTGGATTAGCCAATCAGAGACGCCATGGTCATATCAAAACAAATATGACGAAAAAAGAAAGGGAAAAAAAATATCACAGGTGACTGAAAAACATTTCTGCAGAATCAAAAAGTGAAGCACTAAAGTTTGTTAATCTGTGACGAGAGAAGTTTCATTTTATTTGTAAAGTCTGTGTAACCAATGACTACCTTCGTTTCGTATCTGTCACTGAAATAAACAAATCTGATTGGACGATTATGTTTGGTTTTGGCTCAAGACGCAACAGAGGGCGTTGGGACCAGACTGATCTCTCTCTGTATAAAGAGATACAGCGATAATCATTCTGGAATTGTCAGGCAAGAACTTTGGAGTTGCAACACTGAATTTTTTTTTTAATGTGTGACAAATAAAGAAAGCCTTTCTTATAATATAACCTCTTCTCCATTGATCCATTCATTTCCATTGTCTACACTTGGGACAGGAGTGTTACGTGTGTTTAAAGTGTATTTTGGTGCAAATCCAATGTGAACTCATCAAGTTAGTGAAGCAAAAACAGTGGTTATTCTGACACACAGCAGGTAGGGGGCGCCGTACCGGACCGGACTCCGCCCACACTGCTCTGTACTCACGGAGAGAGGAGAGGCCCGCGCAGCACCGGAGCCAAGGGCCTGGGTGCAATTCCCCTGCCCACCACCAGGGGCCTGTCCGGGGCCTGAGGGGAACGTTTGACCCAGGGCACCGGCTAGAGCTAAGGGAGGTCCAAGAGGGGGGGCGGGGGGCTGGTTTGAACTGGGGCAAGGCTGGGAGCCCTAGGGTGCACCCACAGAGCAAAGGATTGTGGGAAAACAGCAAAAAAGGATGAAGATATAGGTCCAAGCGGGAGGTAAAAAGGAGAGAAAGGATGGTTAAATAAAACTAGTAAATTAAAAGATGCATGCTAACAAAAAAAAGTTAAGGCTACTCTACAAACGACTAAAAAGAGGTTTAGCTACATTCAGGGAAAGACTTCTAGGTTCAATTGTAGTTCTCAAACACAGCGAGGGCCCAATAATGGATCACGGAACATATCATTTGTGTTGTAAAATTGCAAGAAAATACAGTTCATGTGCAAAAAAAAAAAATCACATATTAACATAAAAACAGTTTTTGTTACTATATTTTATTTATATTTTTTTATTCTAGATCGGTGAGGCTAATTTATATATTTTGTTCAGCTTACTTGCTTAGAAATAAATTCATAATTTTGTATAAAGCCTAGAAAAGTTGGAGTAGCGGTCCTTGGCTGGGATATATTGTATTATATTGTATATTAAAACGTTTCTAATATAGAACATAACAATGAATACACCTAAAAAAATTGTGAAAATAACGTAATCTAAAATAATCATTTGTTCATAAATATAGATTAAAATGAAATGTAAATAGTCTGGCTTTTAAAAATTACAAAGAAAAAAAAAAAAGACATAACTGAGCAATTTCTGATGGCAAATTGGCTTAGACAGAGTAAATAACTATTTCTTTTCAGTGTTTTGCATGGTAAAAAAAAAAAAGGGTTTCATAAATATCCATGTATATCCAGAGTGTGTTACCTGAGTGAAGATGAGGGTCTCGGAGTTGCGGCTGTCCAGACTCAGCACAAAGCGGATGGACTGGAACAGCTCCTGGATACTGGTCCTGAACTGGTCCTCCTCCATCCCACAGGTGGCCCTCGCGTACAGCACACGAGATTGGACGATGAACTTAAACAGGTACTCCAGAGCCTGACGGAGATGGGGGAGAGTTAGAAGGACTAATTTTTGCATAGCTTATTGTGTATTTCAGTCCAATTTTTTAAGATATAGTATGTAATTTTTCTAATGAAGTGAACACCACTGGTTTCTCTCTATTCAGATGCTATGGCTTTGCTTAGAATGTTAGAAAGTGTGGCATTTAACTTTTCTATTTTGTGCAGTTATTCAATTATAGTTGTAACACATTAAGTTGGAGTGGGTGTCCTCTCTCCACAAATCTGAACTGTAACTTTACCTTCTTCTGATCTTCTTGTTTCCATGGAGACAGATACATTTAATGTATGCATCTGCATGCAGACAAGCGAGCAATGGAACTTCCAATCAATATATTATTACTGAGTTTCTTTGTGTGCCATATTCTTAAAGATCAACATTTTCATCAATTGGACATAATATCTGAACACATATGAATGTAATTTTGTCAGAATCAGGAACAATGAAACAACATCTAGCCCCTGATCAAACATGTTCTGATTAAAATGAAACTAAACTCCCACAACTAGAGCTGGTAAACTGCACAGAACCTGGAGGACTAAAGAGTGAGTAAAGGGAGGAGGGAGGAGAGATGGAGTCTGGGGGTATAAGAAACTGTGTGATTGGTCTAACAAGTATCTACACTTCAAACTCCCTTGCAGCCAGTTCCTTGTAATCATAAACACTTGGCAATCAGGGCAATCCTGAGTGATGTCAAATAGTACTTGAAATTGAAGTGGCTAAAAAGCTGAAAATTTGCCTAGTTTGCACTATAATTACCAGTAATAAGAACAGTAGCTAGGTTGGCGCCACCTAGTGCCTCCACTCAATTTCATATCTCTCCAGCGACTAGTTCAGGAATCGAAATACACTAGACAGTTTACAAGAACCCCAGAAGTTACAGACCGCGCACCGACCAATCAGCGAAGAGCTGTGAAGCCATGACGTCAAACTCAAGCGCATGTCTGGGTCCCTTTCGTGTAACAACAGTAAACAAAGTGGTCGAGATGGATGTAGACGAAGCCATACATTCTGTGTTGGCAACGATTCCCGAGATCGAGGATTTAAAGTCGGAAAAAAGAGAATGTTTGGTGGATTTTATCAAGGGGAAAGACGTTATTGCCCTTCTTCCTACAGGATTTGGCACATTATATACGCCACAACCAAATAGCAGTGAATGGTTTAATAAAAAATTACCTGTCTACTATCGAGTGACAGTATCAGACTATTGGAACAGTAGATAATACTATTAAAACATCACAAATACTTGTAGTAAAAAGTTGATTTAGTGTTCAATTAGTTCCATTTTATGTCACGTTCACTGTACACTGTGCATTAATTTCTAAATATCAAATCCTAAAGTGTGAACCATTAGTATTACGTATAACCATCTCCACTCATTACAGAACCCAAGCTGCTGCAGTTGTCAAACTTGGTCTCAATAATTCAGGTGGGGCACTTCCACACAGGAGCTGGTGACCCATTTGATACGATGGTAGAGGCCCATGAATATTTTAAAGTGCTGAGCTGTGGCTGTCTGCTAAGTGTGCTACACCAGTACATAGTATGGTGTAGTATCATGTATTCTCTGTCCTCTCCTCCTCCTCCTGCAAAAATGATGTAAAAACACTTTGCTTTTGGACAAGGGAATGGAGAAATACAGAAGATAGCAGACGGTCCTGGGATAAGGTAAGGTAAGGTAGAGATGTGGATTTGTGGTGGATTTTAAAGGAGCTGTATCTAATTTTTACTCTCTCTGTGTTTGTCTTAAAGTTATTATAAATATTACCTGTTTTTGAGCATCCTAAATAGTCACCCCAATGAGTTTATAAGGTTTTTTTCCCAACTTTCAGAGACCAGAGTGGAGTTTTGACAGCAGCTAGAATGCTAAGAGTGCATTTCCTGATTATCAAACAATGAAAGTCTTTATTATTAGACGCAGACAGTACACAGCTGACCTATTTTGACCTCAAGAGCTGCTTATACAATATATACATACATTTTTTGTCAAATACATATAAAAAAAAAAAAAATCAGGTACAGTGCCTTTAAGGATTAATAAATACAGCATATATTTACACTGCCAACCAAAAATGTGGATAAAACATCTCTTTCAGTGTTTTTGTTCTGTATGTATGTTTTAGATTCTTGATTATTCAAAGTATCCACCCTTTGCTTTGTCAACAGCGCTGCAATCCCTTGTCCTTCTTGATGTAGTCTCCTGAAATGGTTTTCATTTTACAGCTGTGTCTTGTCAAGGTTCGGTCGAAAAATTAGGAGTGGAGTGTGCAAAGCTGTGAGTCGAGCAAAGGGTGGTTATTTTAAAGAATCAAAAATATGCAACATGTTTAGAGTTATTTCCATACTGTTGTTTACTATATTCCATAATTTTGATGCCTCCAGTGAGAATCTATAGTGTAAATAATCATGGAAATAAAGAAAAAATGTTGAATGAAAAAGCAAGGGCGTAGGTTTGCATAGGGACGGTGGGGACCTGTCACAACAAATATTTGGGGAAGATAAAATAGTCCCTACCAATATTTGCCATTTAATTTTAATAAACTAAAATATAAACTTATTCTGACATTTTTCCAAACTCATTAGTATTAATTTAACATGTTGTAGTTCACATTTTGTTTATTAGACATTCTGAGATGTATTATCCATGTCACTATTTCACTGGCTACAACAGAGTGATGTCATTAGTGGAGCCAGGAGCCTAAACTGGGGAAGCAGCAGGACAGGGCAGCACCCGAAGATGTCGGCTTGAGCAGCGTGAGTGAAGATGCTGCACCAAACTTTTCAAAAGGAACTTACTTGGCTTCATCTTCAATTAAACTTGCCTTATAATGAGTTGCCGCAGAAAAAGAGCGACTATCGCCACAAGTGCACCTCCCAAACAGAGCCCTACTGGTGCGCTGTTAGCAGCTGCACTCGATTGACAACATTCTACAGAAAAATGTTTAGACATTACCTCACAAATATCTCATCACCAACAAGCAAAGGGAAATCTGCTACAAACTTCTACATCACTGTTATCCGCTATAGAATCATCTTAGAAGGGCAATTAAATCACCTCTCATTTATTTGCCTGCCCAGACTCTGTGTGTTTTTGGAAAGAATTCATAAAACATATGGGGGGTTAGCTGATAATGTCCGCATCAAAGCTGAGACCAAACCTATGCCCTTGTGAAAAAGTCAACATTTTTGGCGGGTAGTGTATTTTTTGACAAAGTACACTTGACATCATTCAGTGTTCTATGAAAAAATTTGCTTTTTAATTGTCCAAATGCATCTCCAATAGAGAGAGAAAGAGAGATAAGCCCCTGTTCTCTTTATAAAATTATGACATCTTATACACAGTACACATGCTACATAACTTATACTGTATAACTGAATACATGAATACTTTTAAAGAATCATTTTTAGAACTATTCATTGATCAGTTGTAGTTATTGCATTATTTTATGTTCCAGTTTCCGCACACTGTTTCCTGAGTTAAAATTAAAGTAAAAGACAAAAGCAGTTCTCGAGTACTATCTGGTGTATTTTATAGCCATAATGGAGTTTTCATGTATAATGTATTTGATCATAAAGTCTCTCTTACCCTCATGGCTTCCTGTATATGATCCTGTCTCACCACTTCTGCCGAGCGGTCCATGTACCACTTGAGACAGCGAATCAACTCCCTATAACACAATAATGGAACCAAATATACAGTATAAATAACTCATGATTGGTGCGTCTTTACTGTAAGAGATATAGATAATACATACTTAAAGTCATATATTTATTTTAAGTGGTACTTACTTGTAGGCCAGTGCTCCAGCAAAGTGCTTCTGGATGTACGTGTCCATCACAGGTTTGAAGTGGTAGTACTTACTGTCCCTGAGCAGGTTGATGATGAAGACCTGAGCGGAGACATTAATTTAGACATCAGTGTATTTTTGTACGCAAATATTTTATCTACAGATTCTAATTGCTGGCTGAATTTGTTTACATAAATGACGATGACTAGATGTATTATGGTACAAAATAGGCCTGTCACGATAATTACTTTACTTTTGTTCAATACATGATAAATGGAACAATATTTTTTGGGGATCAATATTAATCTTGGGTACTTTTTCATTGTATAGTGGGATAATTTGGGTTATTTTTCTGTACTACAATGAGATTTGAGCTGTAGAAAGTTAAATTATGAACTTCTATGACTCATAATAGGCACAAACTAGCTATTTACGTGTTGTATTCTGTTATTTATTTATTGCAGTTCAAAGTTTTAACAATATTGTGCATGTAGAATGCTTTTATGGGCATAATTCTGCTTTATGGTTAGGCTTCAATATTGTAATTTATCTTCAACTTATATATATCGCACTTCAGACTTTGTTATTATGACAGGCCTAGTGCAAAATGGAAATTAAAGAATAAAAAATCTGAAAAAAAAAAAAAAAACAGGTCAAAACTAAATAATTCCTAATGTTGCTCTAGTCCCAGTGCCAAAGAAAGACAGAAGCCAAGAAGGCCAAGACAGAACAGAATTCACATACCAGTGACTGGAACACCAGAGGTCCATATTTGTCTGTGTTGTCATCAAGAATAGAGAATAAAGTGTCCAAAATGTCTTGAAGAAACTGTAAAAAAAAAAAAAATAGAAATAGAAAAATCATGTTAATAATATTAATATGCACTTTATGGTAGTTGTTTTGATGTATTGTGTATGTTGAGGAAAACAAGGAAACAAAAAGCAAGATATGAGTCGAACAAAAAACAAAAAAATCAATACTATATAATTAAGCATTTATAAAACTTAAAATGATATGTATGGATAATTTGAAGCCCACCTTGACTATCTCCTCCCCGCTGACGTGCCGTAAGCGTCCCAGGATGTCCATGACCCGGTCTGGATGGGCTTTCCACTTGAGGAGGGCCAAAAGATCCACTGGAAAACAACAGCAAGTTTCAATGTTTGTTTGCTGTCCAGTGTTTAAGAGCTGGGTGCAGATAAAAGATATAATGCAGGACTAAACCAGGTCTAAACCAGGACTAAATCTACTCACCGTTCTGTGTGAGCTTGGTGGAGGAGAGCTGTGTGCAGATCCAGAAGCTCTCCTTGGTGTTGCGTTGGAAGATGAGGCTGGAGGGGATGTTGGGGCAGCTGTTGAAGTCCTCTTTGCAGCAGGGCAGGCCCAGGTACAGGGCGTGGTTACTGAACGTCGTGTTCTCATCGCACTATTGAGAAACACAGGCAAAGTATATGGTAATAAACAGTGCTGAAAGACTGTCTGGATCTATTTATAAAGAGTTTGTATCCATGAAATAGGAAATGATGGCATATATTCAGACCTTGTAAACATAGAGTTCATGGCTTTCATCTGACAGCGTGGTCCCATCTTCTCTCATCAGAGGAGTGAAGGAAAACCCAAACAGCTTCTTCTCTCCTTTGTCTTTAGCTGCAAAATATACACAGAAAACAGTTAGCTCCGCATCTGTAAAAAGACTCGTTTGAGACTCTTAAGTGTTCAAAAGATGAGAGCACTGCACTTCTACTTTAAAGAGACTAAAAACAAAACAAAAAATCAATGAATTCAAATAAATTAACACAACTAATTGAAATGCCTATCGTCTTCAGGCTACGCAATAGAGGTCTACACACAGCTAGACTATGAAACTATAACCTTTCACATCACTTAAGATAATATTTGTGTTTGTGAGCGCGTGCCAGCCTTCTTACTGGAGCAGTGTCTGAACTCAAAGCGCAGGTGGGAGCCTCTGAAGCGGTCAATAGGGATAGGCAGTTTGATGACCTCGCTCCAGCGTGGACTGTTGTTGTGGTACAGGACGAACGAGCGGTGTTCAGGGACGTTAGGCTCTCCTGACCCCAGGCTGATGCAGTCCTGACCGGAGAGAAGACAACAAGCTAAATATACACTGCTAATGACGAGCAAATGCAGTCATGCAAGAATGAATCTGTGGCTACATTTCTTGTACATCACCGCTGAGTGTGTAGAGGGCAGACATTTTAATACTTACAGGCTCATATTACTCTATTTTTTGATCTATGTTATAATGTTGTTTCCTCATCAAAAACATATCTGGAGTTGTTTTGCTTCATTCACACATTTTGAACTCAGACATCCTGCATATTTAGAGTTCTTCTCTCAGACAGAAAATATTCTGTTCCACCTTGTGATGGTACAGATTATCCCCAGGTTTGACTATCCCAAATTTAAGATTTTTTAAAGACCTTTTTAAGACCACTTCAAAGAAAATTAAGACCAACATCGCACACATTATGCGTGCAAAAAACACCAGATCCAATTCTAATAATGATCAACCAACTACCGGTACTATATCTGGAATCTAAGAGCCACTGTGGATTAAAACTAGACTTTTCCATGATCCATCCAACATCTTCCTTAACTGTACTGATTGTTTACTCATTGCCGCTGGCGCCAGAAACCAAAGTACTGTTTGCATATACTCCAAATTAGACAAGTTGTTGTTTTTTTCCTCCATTTAACATTGCATTACAGCCCGGTTGAGTATACAAAAAAATAGACCTTAGTGAAAAAAATAAGACTTGGACAACATAATTTAAGACTTTTTAAGGCCTTAATTTACGAACACGACATTTTTAAAGTCCATACACCTTCACCAGAATCATCTAGATAATTTCAGCCCTGGTATTGCCAATCTCGACTGAACAAAAGGTAAAAGGCAGATGTTAACTTGAAAACTACCGCTTCATGACATCACAAGGTTGAACAGAGCATTTTGAGCATTGGAGATATGGGCAGATTAATAATGAAGGGTTATTCGAACATGTGTGAATGGATCCAAACACAACTCCAGGTATGTTTTGATGAGGTAACAACATTCTAATATGGCTAAAAGCTCAAAAGAGTCAATTTTGTGTAATATAGGACCTCTAAGTGCCATTAAAAATATTTTGTCTATTGTTTTATTAAAGAATAAAACTAACTGAATATTAATATTTGTGTCTAGAATGACCATTTTATCTTAGTGTTGGTGTTATAATTTGATAATACCTTGAGGATCTCCCCGTCTGCGTACAGCACATACACAGTGACCTCGATGTTCTTCTGGACGCTCTTTCCTCCTCGCTCAAAGTCTCCTCGCTCCAAGGGTCAGGTACAGGTCGTTTCGGACGTCACCTGGTTTCAAAAAGGACAAAAATAGTATTCAGCTTAACAGAGAACAACGTGTAATTTAACTTTTATTACATGTACCTTGATCTACTAGCATTTCACACCGTATGGCATAACAGACAAGAGCATGTTAGATTTTTCAACTTGTTCATTTGCTCAGATATTTGGTATGCATTATTCACTGGTTTCAAAATATGGCAGCAGCCCTCCACTGCGATAGCAATTAAGCAAACTAAATGAAAATATTATATCCTTTGAATGAACGGTATTCAGAAAAATTCTTCATTTCAGATAGGAATTGTTTGCCAGGTTAATGAGTTGGGTTTAGAAAAATATCTGAAGAGTGAGGCATCCTTCAAAGTACATATTTTGGAGGAAATACTAAAAAAGATATATTAAAAATGTATTATTACTTTTTCAACAGCTTGTTCTTAAAGGTGCACTGTGTAACTTTTCTGATGGAGGGTCTGTCAGATGTCTCCATGGAGATGTTATTGCTTTGTCTGGAATGTTTCACAGTATGGTAAACTTTCTTATCTTCATGGAGGCCAAAGAGTAAGATCAATACCAGACCAAGCTACAAGTCAGATCTGTGGAGAGGTCACCCCACACATAGGTATATTTGAGCTATAAAACCACCTGTAATTTAAATAAATGTAAGGTAGAGCTGTTTAATGTCATACTGTGGAACATTCCGGGCAGAGTAATCCATATCTATAGAAACAAGCAGGTGACGGAGGCCCAACTAACTTGTTCTAACCGATCTATTCTCATGTTTTATGTTTCGTATTTCCATATTGGACAGACCGCAATGTATTTATATGAGAATGGTCTAGTGGGGGACAGAGTTAAACAGCTCAGACATGCAGAAGACTAATGACCCCAGTTAACATGTGTGTGTGTGTGTGTGTGTGTGTGTGTGTGTGGTGTGTGTGTGTGTGTGGGTGGGTGCGTGCGTGTGTATGTGTGTGTGTTTGTGTGTGTGTGCATTCATCATACAGGCCTGTCCCAATACAGAGGAGCTGTCAGGGAGGCCAGGGGAGACCTACTCTGTCACTGACACCAGGGGGCAGGGGAGAGCGGGAGGGAGGGAGGGAGGGGGAAAGTGAGAAAAAAGAGAGAGTTGAGAAAGAGAGAAGGGATGGAGTGGAAGAGATAGAATGGAAATAGAAAGACAGAAAGAGAGAGGGAGGGATAAAGAGAGCGCACGATATTCATCATATTGTGGGGACGATTCTGAATACACGCAATTCACAGGGATCTGCCTCTGTTACATTATTACTAGATTAAAAACAAGAATTAAAGTTCAGATTTGGGTACGGTTAGGCACGAAGGTTGGTTAAGGTCAGTGTGCAAAATACAGAGGGTGCTGGGGGTGCGATTAAACCATCACATTCCTTAAAAAGCCCCGTGGGAACAGAGATACCTCCAATTGTGAAAGGTAACAATGTTCCCCGTTAAAACCGCGGGTCGTCCTCATCTCAAGTTATCATGATGAACTCATAAAACAGCAGCATGTAGAACTTTATACGCAATTCACCGCACATCAGCCCGGAGCAGAAGCACTGAGTTCAGGTAACAGCAGCAGCCAACAGTGCTGAAGACACAGGAGCACTCACTGTAGGGTCCAGTCCGGTCCTTGGTCTTGTGCCGTCCTCCGAGTGCGTTGGTCAGATAGGTCAGGAGGCTCCGTCCTCCATGTGCTGGTTCCAGACGGGGGCAAGCAAGACCAGTGCGCAGTGGACTGGGTCTGATCAGTTCGGTGCCATCGTCTGCGTGCTGGTTCCGTGTGGGGAAAATGAGAATGCACTGTGGACTACAGGTCCGGGCGGGCTGTTCCGGTCCTCCATGCTCAAGGACTGCGACTGTTTCAGAGGTGGTGCAGAATCCAGACAGAAGCGTGAATCCCGTTTGGTTTGTTATATGCTGAGCGGTCCGTCCTCCACCCATTTGGTTCTTCCTTCTCAGGTCGAGGCTCCTAACGTCCTAACTCTTCCCTGCTCTAGGTCATCTGAGCCCGACCTGAACCAGAGCTGCTCCCGCTGGGTCAGGACTCTGGTTTGGATCTAGTCCGACTGCATTTTTCTCTAACTGGACCTCCTCAAATTTTAGTTGAATACCCCTGCTATAGGCTATCTGTGGCATCCACCTTGGTGTCTTTTTTCACATTTGAGTCTGTATAACAATTCAGAGATGGGGACCTCCATGAATATTGATGCGTATTTTGCACACTGGTTAAGGTTAGGATTAATGTTTGGGTCAAATAAATGTCAATGTAATGTCCCTAAGAAGCATCGAATCCTAATGAGTGTGAGAGAGAGTGGAATGAGTGAGAAAAAAAGAAAATAGAGAAATGAGACAGATTTGAGAGAGAGGTGTGTGTGTAATAGAGAGATAGAGACATACGGAGAGTGGACGATTGATAGAAAGAGAGGAAGGGATGGAGCCAAGGAGAGTGATGAATAACAATACTGAAGGTACACTTTGTCCTAACAGTGTATTGGGATTGAGAACTTCTCAGTGCTTCTTTTCAGCCTGATAATTCAAAATGACGATTACATAGGAGAATGTCGAGTGCACTGACCTGGCATGATGACATCGGGGAAGCCCAGTTTGCGGGTCATGGCGACTCCTCTGCTGAAGATCACTGGGTTTTCTCTTCTCACCTGATCTATGTCCCCACGCAACAACTGAAGAGAGATGATCAGCCCTACGGAAAAAAAGAGGTTTTAGTTTATTTTACACAAAACTTTACTGAAAATAAATCTTAAGTTTAATTAAATATATAGTATTTTATATTGCATTGATGGTTCAGAGTAAAAGGTAATTACAAGAAGTACTTGGCCTGCTTGTTTCATGGTGACAAATGAGGATCCAATATGAGAAAAGTGGCTGATACCCTATTTCTTTCATATAATAAAGTAAAATTTGTCTTGCCCCAGTCCTGGTAGTATATTGTGTAAGCTCTTCTTAGCGTCAAAGTATGACTAATGTGTGTTGTTTCCATCAATGTATAAAACATTTTTTGCATCCGTGATTTACATTTGCAGACTTGGAGAGACTTATTCATGCGTTTGTCTCCAGTGGGTTAGTCTACTGTAACGGCCTGCTCGCTCTAAGACAACTGCAGTATATCCAGAACACTGCACTTTTGGGTCCTGACTTGAACCAGGAAGTATGGGCACATAAGTCCTGTGCTCAAGTCTCTGCACTGGCTCCTGTGGCTCAGAGAATAGACTTTACAGCAGCTGTATTTGCATTAGATTGTATTATAGATTGTATTATCTGTTATCTCTTGTGTATGAGTCTCTCCATGGCCTAGCACTAAAGTACATCTCTGACATGTTAGTGATACATATATGAACCATCTCGTACTCTGAGGACCTCAGGGACCGGTCTCCTGCTGGTGCCCAGAGTCAGGACTGAACACGGGGAGTCAGCGTTTCACTTTTATCAGCTAAAACCTGGATCAGTCTTCCTGAACATGTGCCACAAGCCTCTATTTTGACAATGTTTAAATCCAGGCTCAGAACAGTTCTGTTTAGCTGCATATGATTGAAAGGTTTTCAATCAGCACTCTCCTCTCTCATTTAACGTCTCTCTTTTTAATTTGATGATGATTATTTATATTTTGAATCATTTTTAATTACTTCATGTACGTATTGTGCTATACAAATAAACTCGCCTTGCCTTACTTTATTTACAAGCTGAATATTTTTTCTTTTTTTTTTTTACTTCAGAATGATATTCAGAATCTACTCATATTCTATGTAAAAATTAATAAATCAGTTCCACACTGTATGAGGGCAGTTCTCTTACCGTAGTTGTTGCTGGGAGTGGTGTATTTTGTACTGGACTTCCTGATGATGTTTTCGTGGATCTGGTACCATTCATTCTCATTGTTACATCTGCAGACGACAGGCACGTTTTAAGCAAGGAACAAAAAGATGACGCAATTGCAGTGATATCAAGAGTAATTTAGTAGATTTAATATATTTACAATTATCATTAGTCTCATTATCAGCAGCATACTCATTATCATCATTATTATACTATTCATTATCCATCCATTATCATCACCATTATTCTCATCAGCATCATCTTTATCCATATCATTATCTTTGTCATTATCCTCTTCATCACCCTCACCATTGTCATCATTATATTCGTTAACTTCATCATCATCATAAATGGCATCATAATTACCATCGTCATTGCCCTCAGCATCATAAAATCATCATTAACCATATCATTATCCTCATCGTCATTTTCATTATCATCATTATTATCATCATCATTGTCCTCTTCATCACCCTCATCATTATCACCAATATCATAGTCGTTATGTCATAGTTGTTATCGTTATCATTATAATTTCCATTATCATTGTCATCCTCATCGTTACCCTCATCATCATCCTCATCATTATTGCCATTATCATCTCTATAATTTTCATCATTATCCTCATTGTTGTCATTGTTTTCTTCATCACTCACATCATTACATTATTATCATTACCCTCATCATCCTCATTATCATTATTGTCATTATCCGTGTCATTATTATCACTGTTATCGTTTTCTTCATCACCTTCATCATCATCATCACAATTACCATTATCATTGTCATCATCATCGTTATCATCATTACCCTTATCATCTTCATCATCATCAATGTTGTCATTATCCTCTATCATTATCATCGTCATTATCCTCACTGTCGTCATTTTTTCCTCATCATCATAGTCATTATCTTCTTCATCATCATCATCATCATAATTGCCATTATCATTATCATTGTCATCATCATCTTTTTCATTACCCTCATCATCCTCATCATCATTATTGTCATTATTCTCTCCATCATTTTCATCGTCACTATCCTCACTGTCGTCATTGTTTTCTTCATCACTCTCATCATTATCATAGTCGTTATCTTCATCATCACCTCATCAGCATCATCATTACTCACATCATCATCATTATCCTCAACATCATTTTCACTGTTCTCATATTATCATCATCATTGTCGTCATAATTATCCTCTTCATCATCCTTAATGCCATTATCATCATTATCACAGTCATTAACATCATTCTCATCATCATCATCATCATCCATGTGTACACCAAAAATATTTTGCTATGTAATCTTTGTGTAAGAGAAGCAAAAAGTATTCCACTTTCTTTCCAAAAATGTAAAAAAAAGACTTTTACACAACACCAATCTCTGCGCCTCAAATGCGTGAGCCTAAATGATAACAAAAATGCGAACAGAATCATAACAAATCATTCTCTTCACACTAGCTTTTCTTCCATCAAACTGGGAGCTCACGGCCTTGTACAGAAGACGTGTGTTGGACTATAAAACACAAGTTCATCTGAGGCAGCACATGGACAGTTACATCACACCGCCAGAGGGAGCGCTCTGGGGCTCCTGCAGGCTAGTCTTTAGAAGTCACGGCCAATGGGAGTCCCTGCTAAACAGACTGTCTCTGTCTCTATAGTTTGTGTGGGAAGAGGCAGTGCGCTGGTGGCAATGTTCAAAAAGACAGCGGTGAGGAAGAATATATCGTGTGTTACAAATAAGGCAGTTTTGTGTTATTTTTTTTTCAACTACTCTTAATGTTGGGCTTTGGATATGAGCTACAGTTACTAGTAGTTCAAACTATCTATAATTAGTACTACACCTTTACAAGTATTTCTGATTTCGGTACTACTATTGAGTACTAATTTCTATTCACAACTTGCTTCTTTTTCCAATAGGTTAATACCGCCAACAGAGCCCAAAGGAAGTCATCATCTGCCTGTTTCCAAACATCTTCTGGTTTCATGATGTAAACATGAATAGAGCTACTGATGCTTTTTTTTTTTTTAACAATATAAAATTTAAATAAAAAACTAAAATACTGGTACCATCACAGCTGAGCTGAAAGGCAAAGCTCTCAATTTACCAGGTAATCTACGGTCCTACCCTCACCTATGGTCATGAGCCTTGGGTAATGACCGAAAGTACAAGATCGCGGATACAAACAGCCAAAATGAGTTTCCTCCGGGGGGTGGCTGGGTGCTCGCTTAGAGATAGGGTGAGGAGCTCACTCATGGGTGAGGAGCTCAGTCATACGGGAGGAGCTTGGAGTAGAGAGGTGGCTTGGGCATTTGTTCAGGATGCCTCCTGGACCTCTCCTATGTGAGGTGTTCCGGGCATGTTCCACCGGAAGGAGGTCGCGGGGAAGACCCAGGACAGGCTGGAGGGACTATGTCTCTCGGCTGCACTGGGAACGCCTCGGGGAACTGGAGGAAGCATCCGGAGTGAGGGAAGTCTGGGAGTCCCTGCTTAGATTGTTGCCCTCACGACCCAGACCCAGATACACAAAAGAAAATAGATGGATGGATGAACGGTACATCACAAAGCAGCTGCTAGACAGAAAGCGCAGAACAGTGTTTTCTGTTCTGTTGATAGTCAAAGTCTCACCTTGCTTTTCAAAGGCAAAATATTGATGTTAAAAAGCTGACATGAAATACGAAATACTATTGTAGTATTCAAAATGTGTAAATTCTTTTCGAGTCTGTATACCATTTAATTTAGTATGTACTTATTGAGGAACTACATTAATTTGGGGCAAAAGAAATATATATATACTGATACACATATTCACTAGTTTGCATTTAGAAGAAATTAAGAAGGAAGAAAGATAAACAAACCAGCAGTAATAACTTTTAAATGCACTACAAAGCCTCTCATATTTACCCTAACTTTGATGGATGTCTCATGCTGATTATGTTATATTTGTCTCCTGTTTCTATTGGTATTTATGGTTCCAGGCATTCATTTACATCTAATTAAATTTCACAACTGGGTGCATTTTTAAATTTCTATTTTTGAGTTTCACTGCAAGGCACACAGAAAAAAAGTCTTTATTTCCTATTACCAAATGGATAAATGTGTCTTACTGAAAATACTGTATTTTGCTGTAAGCTGTTATACATCGAATTACTATCCAGAGAGTCCACGTTGCCGCTTCGTTATAGTCACAGTAGTACTCACGTGTACACTTTAAGTACAAAGTCTTTCTCCTCTTTGAGCTCGGAGATGGTTTGGAGTACATCGCTCATGGCCAGAACTGCACATCCGTATGGCCGGCGGTACTGCACGTGAGGAGGGCCCTTCTTACTGTCATTCAGCAACATCCGCCCTGAAACAAGACGAGAGAATAGTGTACTTAAAGGTGCATTGTGTCATTTTTCTAGTGGAGTTTCCGTCAAATGCTTTTCTCCATGGAGATGTTATTGCTTTGAATTGAATGTTCCACAGTATAACATTAAATAGCTCTAACGTTTATTCATTTACAGGTGGTTTTATGACTCAAAAATATCTAGAAATACTTGTAATTTGGTCTAGTTTGGTCTCCATGAAGATAGAAAGGTTTAATACTGGGAAATATTCCATAAAGATTTTAAAGTGTATATGTTTTACTTTTAATTCACTACATTTTTAACAGGAATGAAAAGTGAAAGTATTTGTTATTATTATGTTTGACCTGTTGAAAAGCCTGAGGGTTTATTTTTTTAACACATCTGTAGCTTGAGCAAACAAAAATCTACAAATAAAACAGCTAGAAAAAATGATTCAGTTGTTTCTGTTGAACAAAAATCACCACAAATCTTCATCATAATCAAAACAGTTGAAGTTCTATTAGATCTCATACTTTTACTTTTTACTCATTAAATACATTTTTAAACAACTAAATCAATACTTTTACTTTGGTAGTTTTTTTTCACATGATACTTTTACTTTCATTGCTCTGGCATATGTACTCTATGTTTACTTAAGGAATAAAACTGTGTATTCTTCCACCATTGAACGATATCCACTGTTGTTGAGTCCTTGAGCAAAACATTTTACTCTCCTATTTGTGAATATGTGTGATTGGTCATGAGCAGAAAACTTGATAATTATTTAGATTAGAATAAGTTTATGGACACATTTTTGAGCACATCGAGGGGCCAAGGCATCAAAATTAAAGTAAATATATTATCCTTTTAGGTCCTGTCATTTGACCGATCCTTCAAAGTGTTTTTTGTCAACAATATCTTCTATTAAAAGTTGTTATATATAAAGAGTAAATCCATCTTACCTGTGCGTATCACCTGTGCTACAATGTACAGGTCTCTCTTCATGTCTTTGTTGCTCAGATCCTAAAACACAACAATGATGATGAAGTTAATGGTAATCAATCAATAATGTAAATTTGAATTAAAGTAGATGTTTTTGGGGGTTTTTCTTACCGTGAAGAGTGCACACAGCCGGTCCACTTTCTCTGGGTTCTTTGGTCCTCCATTTTTGTTAAGTCTCACCATGAACTTCTCACTAGAAAACAAGAAGAAAGAAAAGTATTAGACCACTGTCCAGATTTACCTCAATGATGAAAAACTATAATTTATGTAGCAGTGCTTCTTCTGCTAATACTTTCAACTACTTACTGTATATCACCACTGCTAATACCTAACAACATCTCACCACAGCTGTCATTACACGATTATACTTAATGGGAATTATGCACACACATTTTCTTTTGTATTGCCACTACCAACAGCAAGGCTGGTGCCACCTAGTGCCTCCACTCAATTTCATTCCTCTCCAGGGACTAGGTCAGGAATCGGAACACACTAGACGGTTTGCAAGAAACCCGGTGTGTATGAGTCTGGGCACCAGCCAATTAGTGAAGAGCCATATATTCTGTGTTGGAAATGATTCCCCAGGTCGATGATTTAAAGCCAGAACAAAGAGAATGTTTGGTGAATTTTATCAAGAGGGAAAGACGTTATTGCCCTTCTTCCTATGGGATTTGGGAAAAGCTTAATATACCAGTTAGCCCCTTTAACGGTGCATTACATACGTCACAACCAAATAGCAGCGATTGGTTAAATACAAAAAGTACCCGCCTACCATCAAGCAAACGAATCCTAATGCTGCGACGTCAGATGGTTTCCACGAAGTGAAACCATCTGATGAATCAAGCTACCAACATACACAATAACCAAATCTAAAATGTTTCCATGTCTAATACTGCCACAAGACTACACACTAAGAAAACACATCAAAAAGTACCATAAAAACATAAATTAAATAAGAAGAAAGTGTAGCAAAACAAACTTGTAATTAAGTTTTCTCATTTTAATACTATCACTGATTCTTAATGAAGTTGATTATGCCGTGTATTTACAAAAACGTTTCTTGATTTGAATTGACAAAAAAATAAAAATCTTTCAATAAAATACTTCTACAGAGATTTTTTGTGCTTTTTTTTAAGTAATTATAAAAATCTAATAAATCAAAACTTTCATGTTTTAATACTGTCTGTAGCCACTGCACTGTACTGTCTAATGGGAGACAAAACTCCTTTTTCCATGTTTTTTGCAAAAGTTTTCTTGATATGAATTGACAATAAAATTCTGTAAATCAAATATATCTGCAGAGACAAAAAAAAGCAAAAATAAACACATATAAATAAAAAATATATATAAATAAATAAAAACAAAAACTGTAAAAAACAAATAAATAACATTCATATTTTAATCCCGCCTCTAGACACTTCACCTTGAATGGCAGGCAGGATTTTAATGAAGGCACTTTCCTTGTATTTGTAAAAGCTTTCCATGATTTGAATTGACACTCAAATTCTGTAAATCTAATACTTCTGCAGAGACAAAAAAGCAATAAATAAATAAAAGCAAAAAAATAAAAATAAAACAACACAAAATACAGTAAAAAACCAAATAAATGGCGTTCATATTTTAATCCCGCCTCTAGAAACTGCACCTTGAGTGGCAGGCAGGATTTTAATGAAGCCACTTTCCATGTATTTGTAAAAGCTTTCCGTGATTTGACACTCAGATTCCGTAAACAGACTTGATCCAGGCGATAATACCTCTCTGGTGTACGCACATCTTTACAAACAGGAGCCGCCGAGAGCCCCAAATCCTCACAAACAATGTCGGAATATTTAAACAGGCTCTTCACCCGAGTACTGTGGCTTAGCAAACACACAACGCTGGCTAAATATGTGCTCTACCGTCAGCATTTGTGCGCTATGTTTTCAGGGTGATTTTGCGAAGCGTTATGGGAATTCGAGAGGTCACGCTGGTCTAGGTCAGAATAGTGCGGTAAATGTAGCTTGACCTGTTCGATTTCTTGACAAAGTGGGAGTTAAAAGTTTTATAACAGCTTTATTTCTACAAAAAATGTTATATAGACTATACAACCCATCCACAAATACAACGTGTGGTAGTGATGAAATTGTAGACTGAATGTTTTTTACAGAATTCCAACTCTTTTTCAAAATTTATAAACTTTTCCATGACTTTTTCAGGACCAAAAGTGAATTTTCCTTGACTTTACGGCACCTATGTGTAGAATTGATCAGACTTTTAGTGCTGAAAATGAAATGTTAACCTTTTCCACTCACCTTATGGTTTGGTTTTATAGTTTTTAACATTTAAAATACTGTCAGTGCATTTATTGTTGTCTCTTTTAAACAAAAGGCACAAACTTTCGTAAATAATCATAACAGCTTAATGATAACTTAACAGAACGCTGAGGTGCATGAAAGAGATACTAAAACTCCATGACTTTTCCAAAACTTCCATTGAATTTGCAAAATTTCATGACTTTTCTAGGCCTGGAAAATGACATTTTCAATTTCCATGACTTTTCCAGGATTTCCATGACCGTGGGAACCCTGTTTTTTATTTATTTATTTATTTATTTTTATACAGTGGAATGTGGTTAAATGGAAACTGAATCACACAGTTTGGTATTGAACCTTTCTAGTTTCACACAGACCAAACCTAACCAACTTACAGGTCAGATCTGTGGAGAAGCAACCTTACTCACAGTCAGAATGCCTGTTTATCTTGATATATATATAGCTATAAATCCACCTGTAATTAAGTAAATGTAAGGTAAAGCTCAGGGGTATAGTGGACGTGGTAAGCTGTCCACCCACTTCTCCCGACATGGTTATATAAAAATATAAATAACTACAACTTAAATGTCAAACCAAAGCTACTGGGAATAGTGAAAACAACCTACATACCAAATAACCTGTGACATGAGGGGACTGAACCAGGACTAAACCAGGAGGACTAAAGCAGCACTAAACCAGGTCTAAACCGTGTCTAAACCAGAAGTGAACCAGGACTGAGTGTCGGGATGGGCCAGGAGGTGCGCCTGTGTAGACCGTCGGGTGACCGCAGGCGGAAGGACCGCTAAGAGCAGCCGTCGCTTCATCGTGCTTTGTGAACATCCTGCTCTGCGGGCTCGGTGTTCGGTGTGTCTCTCTCAAGTCCTGTTTTAGTTCTCTTTTAGTCCTGGTTTAGACTTGCTTTAATCCTGTTTTAGTCCTGGTTTAGACCTGGTTTAGTCTGGTTTTAGTCCCGTTTTAATCCTGTTTTAGTCCTGGTTCAGTCCTGTTTCAGTCCTGGTTCATGTGTTTTAGACTATGATTTATGTTCTGTAGGTGATTATGAATGGCGTTAATGTTAATAACTTGACTCTGCATCATTTTGAGTACAATGGGACAATAAACAGCTTTACCACTGGTAGAACTGTTTAATGTCATACCGTGGAACATTTGAGGGAGCAATGCCATACCCATAGAAACAAGCAGGTGACGGAAGAACCAAATCTTTTTCTTTCTAATTTTAACTCTGACTGAACATAAGAATCAGCACAGAAGCAAAGGAGGCAACACGAGAGAGAGTGTCGAGCATAAAAAGCAAATTCGCCTTATAAGTTTGTTTTTTAATTATTATTATTATTGTAGCTCAATGTTTTATTTAAAGTATGGATCATTTCAAAGGGTACACACACTCCCGCTGTCAGTTTGAACCATTTTAATCAAATCTGAGCCTTGGTCATTTCTCTCTGTGATTAGTTTGTAGATAAAATGAATGACCTCTCACATTGGCTTCTGTCAGATTAATTAATAGTGAAAGAAAAGAAAGAAAAGATTAAACAAAAAATCTTTTCTGTCAGCTGGACAAAGAGGCTCTTAGAGGCTCTTTGAAGCGAATGCATCCAAAAGATTCATAAAAGAGTCAAAAGTCCCTTCAGTAAGTGTAATAACACTGAAGGCAAGGTCATGTGTAGCTTTGTGAGGGCCCTTTGCAAAATTTATAAAAACAAAATGGACTGATTCCTTCTGTTTGAGATGGTCTACGAACATATGCACATTTACTGTAATTAAAAAACATATTAATCTAACAAATAATGATGGAAATGAAAACAGAAATACATTTGAATTGCGTTAAAAGTCCAAATTAAATAAATATGATTAAAAATAGGTATGTGAAAGGTTCCATGTAGATCCATTATTTTACAAGTCAGTATTTAATTAGATGACCTATAACAGAAGGATTTATTAAAACACAAATAATATCTCCATTCTTAAATCCTTGAGACGTCCTGTGTTACTGTTTCATTAAATGGCTTTATGTAATTTAATCTTAGAAACAAGAAAGTACAAAGTATGTCAGCTATAGTTTTTAATGGCTTAATAAATTCTGGATAAAGTTTTAGGAGAAGCTGGAGGCCAAAACATCTCCTCTTTTAATTACCGCTTCAACACCTGTGTGCCACGGGGACGCAGTCTGAGCCTCCAACTCAAAAACATCGTTCACTTTGGATTATTTGAGGCTTGTTATGTAAGACAATTTATATACAACTCATTCTCAAGTACAAAACTCAGTACTTAAAGGTGCACTACATAACTTTTCTGGTGGAGGGTCTGTTGTTTGTCGGAGATGTTATTGCATTGCACAGTATCTCTGTTGCATTAAAATTACAGGTGTTTATATTGTTACACAACACCATAATAAAAAACATATATCATATTTTATGGACTATAAGGCGCACCGGATTATTAGGCACATTAGGTGAAAAGAAACGGACAACAATTGAAGCTGATCCCCTAGCCCAGACATCCACGATCCATTGGCAGATCGTGGCATAATTCGCCCGGCGTTGCCTCCCTGTCTTGGTGAATGAGTATTTTGAATGTGAATGTGGGTGGATAATCCAAATCAAGACCATCTTTGTCATTTCCTATATTTATATATATTTATTTATAAATATAAATAAATGTTTTTATAAATCTATCTCCGTTTGATCTGGTTAATGAACTGGCTTCAAGTTCATAACATTTACAGTTACACTATCTTACTGGTTTTGTGGTGATATTGAGCAGCCTCTGCATATTCACCGGCTGTAAAGAAATATGATCGTCGAGTGTCAGATCTCGAATCCAAGACAAGACCGAGTCCAAGCACCATCAAGACCGAGACAAGACCGAGTCCAAATGCGCTTGA